ACAATTACAACTATATGTGAACGTGTAGTGTTGTAGAACAGTTGGAATGTATCGCCGATGAAATTACAACAATTACAACTATAATGTGAACGTGTAGTGTTGTAGAACAGTTGGAATGTATCGCCGATGAAATTACAACAATTACAACTATATGTGAACGTGTAGTGTTGTAGAACAGTTGGAATGTATCGCCGATGAAATTACAACAATTACAACTATATGTGAACGTGTAGTGTTGTAGAACAGTTGGAATGTATCGCCGATGAAATTACAACAATTACAACTATAATGTGAACGTGTAGTGTTGTAGAACAGTTGGAATGTATCGCCGATGAAATTACAACAATTACAACTATATGTGAACGTGTAGTGTTGTAGAACAGTTGGAATGTATCGCCGATGAAATTACAACAATTACAACTATATGTGAACGTGTAGTGTTGTAGAACATTTGGAATGTATCGCCGATGAAATTACAACAATTACAACTAAATGTGAACGTGTAGTGTTGTAGAACAGTTGGAATGTATCGCCGATGAAATTACAACAATTACAACTATATGTGAACGTGTAGTGTTGTAGAACAGTTGGAATGTATCGCCGATGAAATTACAACAATTACAACTATATGTGAACGTGTAGTGTTGTAGAACATTTGGAATGTATCGCCGATGAAATTACAACAATTACAACTATATGTGAACGTGTAGTGTTGTAGAACAGTTGGAATGTATCGCCGATGAAATTACAACAATTACGACTATATGTGAACGTGTAGTGTTGTAGAACAGTTGGAATGTATCGCCGATGAAATTACAACAATTACAACTATATTGTGAACGTGTAGTGTTGTAGAACAGTTGGAGTGTATCGCCGATGAAATTACAACAATTACTACTATATGTGAACGTGTAGTGTTGTAGAACATTTGGAATGTATCGCCGATGAAATTACAACAATTACAACTATATGTGAACGTAAAGTGTTGTAGAACAGTTGAAATGTATCGCCGATGAAATTACAACAATTACAACTATATTGTGAACGTAAAGTGTTGTAGAACAGTTAATGTATCGCCGATGAAATTACAACAATTACAACTATATGTGAACGTGTAGTGTTGTAGAACAGTTGGAATGTATCGCCGATGAAATTACAACAATTACAACTATAATGTGAACGTGTAGTGTTGTAGAACAGTTGGAATGTATCGCCGATGAAATTACAACAATTACAACTATATGTGAACGTGTAGTGTTGTAGAACAGTTGGAATGTATCGCCGATGAAATTACAACAATTACAACTATATGTGAACGTGTAGTGTTGTAGAACAGTTGGAATGTATCGCCGATGAAATTACAACAATTACAACTATAATGTGAACGTGTAGTGTTGTAGAACAGTTGGAATGTATCGCCGATGAAATTACAACAATTACAACTATATGTGAACGTGTAGTGTTGTAGAACAGTTGGAATGTATCGCCGATGAAATTACAACAATTACAACTATATGTGAACGTGTAGTGTTGTAGAACATTTGGAATGTATCGCCGATGAAATTACAACAATTACAACTAAATGTGAACGTGTAGTGCTGTAGAACAGTTGGAATGTATCGCCGATGAAATTACAACAATTACAACTATATTGTGAACGTGTAGTATTGTAGAACAGTTGGAGTGTATCGCCGATGAAATTACAACAATTACAACTATATTGTGAACGTGTAGTGTTGTAGAACATTTGGAATGTATCGCCGATGAAATTACAACAATTACAACTATATGTGAACGTGTAGTGTTGTAGAACAGTTGAAATGTATCGCCGATGAAATTACAACAATTACAACTATATGTGAACGTAAAGTGTTGTAGAACAGTTGGAATGTATCGCCGATGAAATTACAACAATTACAACTATATGTGAACGTGTAGTGTTGTAGAACAGTTGGAATGTATCGCCGATGAAATTACAACAATTACAACTATAATGTGAACGTGTAGTGTTGTAGAACAGTTGGAATGTATCGCCGATGAAATTACAACAATTACAACTATATGTGAACGTGTAGTGTTGTAGAACAGTTGGAATGTATCGCCGATGAAATTACAACAATTACAACTATATGTGAACGTGTAGTGTTGTAGAACAGTTGGAATGTATCGCCGATGAAATTACAACAATTACAACTATAATGTGAACGTGTAGTGTTGTAGAACAGTTGGAATGTATCGCCGATGAAATTACAACAATTACAACTATATGTGAACGTGTAGTGTTGTAGAACAGTTGGAATGTATCGCCGATGAAATTACAACAATTACAACTATATGTGAACGTGTAGTGTTGTAGAACATTTGGAATGTATCGCCGATGAAATTACAACAATTACAACTAAATGTGAACGTGTAGTGCTGTAGAACAGTTGGAATGTATCGCCGATGAAATTACAACAATTACAACTATATGTGAACGTGTAGTGTTGTAGAACAGTTGGAATGTATCGCCGATGAAATTACAACAATTACAACTATATGTGAACGTGTAGTGTTGTAGAACATTTGGAATGTATCGCCGATGAAATTACAACAATTACAACTATATGTGAACGTGTAGTGTTGTAGAACAGTTGGAATGTATCGCCGATGAAATTACAACAATTACAACTATATGTGAACGTGTAGTGTTGTAGAACAGTTGGAATGTATCGCCGATGAAATTACAACAATTACAACTATATTGTGAACGTGTAGTGTTGTAGAACAGTTGGAATGTATCGCCGATGAAATTACAACAATTACAACTATATTGTGAACGTGTAGTGTTGTAGAACATTTGGAATGTATCGCCGATGAAATTACAACAATTACAACTATATGTGAACGTAAAGTGTTGTAGAACAGTTGAAATGTATCGCCGATGAAATTACAACAATTACAACTATATTGTGAACGTAAAGTGTTGTAGAACAGTTGGAATGTATCGCCGATGAAATTACAACAATTACAACTATATGTGAACGTGTAGTGTTGTAGAACAGTTGGAATGTATCGCCGATGAAATTACAACAATTACAACTATAATGTGAACGTGTAGTGTTGTAGAACAGTTGGAATGTATCGCCGATGAAATTACAACAATTACAACTATATGTGAACGTGTAGTGTTGTAGAACAGTTGGAATGTATCGCCGATGAAATTACAACAATTACAACTATATGTGAACGTGTAGTGTTGTAGAACAGTTGGAATGTATCGCCGATGAAATTACAACAATTACAACTATAATGTGAACGTGTAGTGTTGTAGAACAGTTGGAATGTATCGCCGATGAAATTACAACAATTACAACTATATGTGAACGTGTAGTGTTGTAGAACAGTTGGAATGTATCGCCGATGAAATTACAACAATTACAACTATATGTGAACGTGTAGTGTTGTAGAACATTTGGAATGTATCGCCGATGAAATTACAACAATTACAACTAAATGTGAACGTGTAGTGTTGTAGAACAGTTGGAATGTATCGCCGATGAAATTACAACAATTACAACTATATGTGAACGTGTAGTGTTGTAGAACAGTTGGAGTGTATCGCCGATGAAATTACAACAATTACAACTATATTGTGAACGTGTAGTGTTGTAGAACATTTGGAATGTATCGCCGATGAAATTACAACAATTACAACTATATTGTGAACGTAAAGTGTTGTAGAACAGTTGGAATGTATCGCCGATGAAATTACAACAATTACAACTATTGTGAACGTAAAGTGTTGTAGAACAGTTGGAATGTATCGCCGATGAAATTACAACAATTACAACTATATGTGAACGTGTAGTGTTGTAGAACAGTTGGAATGTATCGCCGATGAAATTACAACAATTACAACTATAATGTGAACGTGTAGTGTTGTAGAACAGTTGGAATGTATCGCCGATGAAATTACAACAATTACAACTATATGTGAACGTGTAGTGTTGTAGAACAGTTGGAATGTATCGCCGATGAAATTACAACAATTACAACTATATGTGAACGTGTAGTGTTGTAGAACAGTTGGAATGTATCGCCGATGAAATTACAACAATTACAACTATAATGTGAACGTGTAGTGTTGTAGAACAGTTGGAATGTATCGCCGATGAAATTACAACAATTACAACTATATGTGAACGTGTAGTGTTGTAGAACAGTTGGAATGTATCGCCGATGAAATTACAACAATTACAACTATATGTGAACGTGTAGTGTTGTAGAACATTTGGAATGTATCGCCGATGAAATTACAACAATTACAACTAAATGTGAACGTGTAGTGTTGTAGAACAGTTGGAATGTATCGCCGATGAAATTACAACAATTACAACTATATGTGAACGTGTAGTGTTGTAGAACAGTTGGAATGTATCGCCGATGAAATTACAACAATTACAACTATATGTGAACGTGTAGTGTTGTAGAACATTTGGAATGTATCGCCGATGAAATTACAACAATTACAACTATATGTGAACGTGTAGTGTTGTAGAACAGTTGGAATGTATCGCCGATGAAATTACAACAATTACAACTATATGTGAACGTGTAGTGTTGTAGAACAGTTGGAATGTATCGCCGATGAAATTACAACAATTACAACTATATTGTGAACGTGTAGTGTTGTAGAACAGTTGGAATGTATCGCCTGAATTACAACAATTACAACTAAATGTGAACGTGTAGTGTTGTAGAACATTTGGAATGTATCGCCGATGAAATTACAACAATTACAACTATATGTGAACGTGTAGTGCTGTAGAACATTTGGAATTTATCGCCTATGAAATTACAACAATTACAACTATATGTGAACTAGGCTTTACCAATGCCCTTATGTCATTTGCCTATAGTTTTCAAATTTAGCGCTTTCTTCATTGGACGATCTTAAATAATGACAAACATCAATGGCGAAAATGCACGTTCCGGCGGTGGACGAAGATTCGACCTCTCGGAAGATACCGTAAAATACCTGTTCTCGGAATAGCAAATTATTGAACATTTGTTACTTTCTATACAAAGGAAAAAATGGTGCTGTTTAAATTTCTTGAAATTTTAAGTACAAAGTCTGTACTTCGCAAAAATTTATTATTGCGGCCATTAGGAGAAGATTAACATGTTATTGCACAATGTTATTTTCATTGTTTGAATTGGCGGCGAGCAAGTTTGTTAGAAATGCTAGTTTGGTTTCAAGATACTCCTCTTACATACCTGCGCATCTATATCCTTCTCTGCTGAAGATATCTATAAGGAATGGTTGTTTCTTATCTACTCGAATTTTCTATTTATATTGGCCTTTCAAGGACTTTTCTTTCTCTTCCTGTGCGCTCTTTGGAGAGGAGAATGCAATACTACTGGCGAAATGCCTCGAGAAAAATCACACTGAAATATCACAGGTTGATCTAACAAATTGCCAAATAGGTAAAAATTATTCAAATTTATTAAAATGATTTTAGTAAATAAACAAAATTTGCCTTAGATTCAAAAACAATCGTTAACATACACCTGTGATCATTTTGGTACACCTGTGATCGTTATGGTACATCTTATTAATCATTATTGTACACTTTCATCATTTCATACTTCTGTGGCAACATTGAAAGGGCCCTTTATTTCGCTGTCTAGTGCTTAAACTTTATTTTTTTGCAAAAGACCACTCTGCAAATGCTTCTTTTACAGTATAATCTAGATCGGGGGTCCCCTTGGTCAAAGATTAGCCGTCATGCCCCTGAGGACATGCAGTTGCTACTTTGAATTTAAAAGACTTTAATAAAACCATGCCTGTTCAATCAAGATGCCGCTAGGGGGTGGCAATCGCAGATAATTTTAGGTTAGGTAAGAATAGATTGAAATATATAAATTTAATATTCAAAATACTTGAAAAACAAGTTTTGGTAAAGTTTTTTGGCTTTAAAGTTTTGTTGACATGATATTTTGACTGTAAATGATTTCTAACCAAAAGTTTTGCTGACATGGTATTTTGACTTTAAATGATTTCTAACCAAAAGTTTTGTTGACATGGTGTTTTGACTTTAAATGATTTCTAACCAAAAGTTTTGTTGACATGGTATTTTGACTTTAAATGATTTTTAACCAAACTTACCTTAAGTCAGCTAAGTTGCCTCTAGATTGCCTTACGACCTTAATCCTTAATCTGAGCCCTCTTCCCAATCAAATTAAGCTTAATTTCCCTTCAGCACAAAAAATATGAAGTTAAAGAAAAATTTTCCAGGCACAATAGCTGGCTTTTTTTATTCTTATTTCTTGAATTTAGCAGATATTCTTGCTTGGAATATATTTTTTTCATATCATATGCGACTTATGTGAGTCTTATGTAGTGTTGTAGAACTAAATTTATCGGAGGGGGGGGGGCTCTTTTGATGTTTTTGTCAATAGTGCCCTTTTAAAATTACCCATTTCAAAGGTAGAAGGGGGGCTCCTCCCCCAAGCACACACCCCCCACACTTATACAGCACTGGTCTTATGCATTAAACTTTTTTTTGTATAAGGTGTGCATGGAACAAGGTGCTTTCTATTGTTGGTGGCTGGAAAACCATTACCAGATGCAAAAAACTACCTGCCAATTGACATGAAGCCGATTACGAGGCTTGAATTGAGCAAAGTTGGGAGTAATGTAAAAATATTATCAATAAAAATAGATTGTTATGTGGACAGAGATACATGGCCCCTTTTGGAAGACATCCTTGAACAAAAGGCAAAAGTTCACAATCTTGTTGTTACTCATTTTCGTGCTATTGAATTGCATGAAGCTCAGATTCAATACATCTTAAAGATGTTGGGTAGAATCCAGGTAACTTGTTAACATGCATCCTTCTTATAAGGGTCACCCAGAAAGGAGGACAAAAGGGCCAATTTGCCCTGGGGCCCAGGGTTCCCCATCAATATAAATATAATGAGTTAGTAAATTTCTATGGACACTAATTGATGTATGTTAATATCACATCATTCTCTTTTACAAAAAGAATAACTTTTCACAGTATCTGTAGTATTAGCGTTAAGTTTCATATTCTACACCTTATAATCATATAGACACATTTGATAATCCAGTTGCATACAAAGGTCAGTTACTGTTTTTATTAAACTGTATTATATGTTTGTAAATGATGATCGTCCAGGTTAATAAAGTCCTGAGAAGGACTGTTTTTGTTGTTGTTGACTGACGTTTCGACAACCTTAGCGGTAGTCATCTTCAGAGTCAAATGAGGAGTAAACGTCAGGTTAGCCGTATTTGTTATCTGGTTCTTACGTCATTTTATTGTGTGTACAGGAAATGTGTATTGTCATTGTGGATTAGTGTGAAGTGAAATATTTTATTTTTAGTTGTGATGTGTGATTTAGGTGTGACGTATTTAGTTGTAATGTGTGGGTGTCAATTGTGTATTGTCATTGTGAATTAGTTTGAAGTGTAGTGTTTTTAGTTGATCGTTTGTTTGTATTGTGAATAAGTCGTTTGTAAGGTGCCGGTAATTGCTGTGATCTGTTCAGGGGGGTTTGTTCCAAGTTGGTATACCAACTTTCTAATGTAAGCCGTTGTCTATAGTCAGTACTGTAAGTGATGCATTTTGCCGAATCTCAGTCAATGTTTTGCTTTGTGATTCGGTGATGTTCGGCAATGTGATTAGTTTTGTCTTGTTTCTTAGTAGCTCGTTTGTGCTCAGTAAGTCTTATGTTTAAGTTCCTGCCCGTTTCCCCGATATAGGAGGCGTGGCAGTCGGAGCAGTTTATTTTGTAAACTGCACCTTGTCGTTCGTTGGGTTGTTCTTTGTCCTTTATGTTCGTTAGTACTTGTCGTAACGTTGTGATTGGTTTATGTGCGACACGTATGTTGTATGGTCGTAAGATACGCGAGATAGTCTCAGACGTGCCTTTGATGTAAGGTATCGTTGCTGTTGTCACTGACTTGTTCGTTTCGTTGGGTTTGTAAGTGTTGCGTTTGATAAAGTCAGAGTTATAGTTGTTTTTGTCAAAAACACGTTTGAGATAGTTGTTTTCGTTTTGTAGAGCGTCCGGTGAATCACATATGATTTGTGCACGTCTTGTTAATGTTCTGATTGTGGTGGCTTTGTGTGATGTAGGGTTGTAAGATGATTGGTCTAGTAGTCGGTCAGTATGTGTTGGCTTGCGATAAACTGTTGTTCGTAGTTTTTGATTGTCATGTTTTACCAAACAGTCGAGAAAAGGAAGAGTTCCGTTTTCTTCGACATCTTTGGTAAATTGTATGTGGCTGTTCTGTTTGTTGATGTGAGTATGAAAGTCATTAATGTCGTCTGCATGTAGTGCTGTGATTGTGTCATCTACGTAGCGAAACCAAAAAGGTAGTGCATGTTTGTAAGTCGTGAGCGCCCGTTCCTCCATAGATTGCATTACAATTTCAGCAACTACAACAGAAACGGGCGAGCCCATTGCCGTCCCATGTAATTGTTTGTAGTGTGTTCCTTTGTATTGGAAGTAAGTCGAGGTGAGGCAGAGCTCAAGTAGCTCCATAATGTCTTCTGTCGGTAATGGCAGTACGTCCGTGGTGTTTGTAATGAGGGTTTTTTGTACAAGTAAGTGCCAGATTAAGTGGAATACTGGTGAACAGTGATTTCACATCAAAAGACACTAGTATATAGTTGTCCGGTATTTGTATAGTGCTCAGTTTTTTAATGAAAGTTTCAGTGGATTGTAGCTTGTGTTTTGATTTGTTTGTAAGTGGTTGCAGTATGTTAGTCAAGTACTTTGAAAGTTCGTAAGTAGGCGAACCACAGAATGATACAATTGGTCGCATGGGTATTTGTGGTTTGTGAAGTTTTGGTAGTCCGTATAGTCTGGGTGGTCGTGGTACTGAACATCTGAGTCGATAGTAAATACGTTCAGATATAATGTTAGATTTTCTCATAGAGAAGATCGTGCTGTTAAGTTTGCGTACTAGTGATGGTGTTGGGTCTCGTTTGAGTTGTTCGTACGTTTGTCTGTCGTTAACAAGTGCGTCCATTTTGTTAAAGTAATCATTCCTGTCCATGACCACAGTCACGCGTCCTTTGTCTGCTGGTATAATGACGATGTTGTTGTCGTGTTTTAGTCGTTTGAGTGCTTGTTGCTCGTCCTTTGTCAAGTTGTTGTCACGTATAGAGGACGATTGTAAAGTGGAGGCTATCCTGCTTCTGATCTCGTCTTTGGTTGTCTCTGACAAGTCTCTTTGATACGCTAGGACAGCCTCGACACTTGATACTATCGTCTCAGTCGGGATATGTCTAGGTGTTATGCAATGTTTTAGTCCGTAAGATAGTAGTCGCGTTTCAATTTCGTCTAATGAGGGGGAAGAAATATTCCTCACCCAGTTATCGTCATGTTTTTGTCTTGTACGTGTTTTAGTTTGTTTTAAACGTTCAAGTTTTTGTTGTTGTTTGATTTGGTGTTGTGTCTCTGTCTTGTTTGCTCGTTTCTCTGCAATACTTTGTATCGTAGAAAGTAAAGTATCACTTACTGTCGTTGGTATGAGTTCCTTCAGTTTGTTCAGTCTTTGTTCTTGTTGTTTGATGTAATAGTTGATTCGTCTGTGACAGTCGTTGATCCGTGCTCGTATCAGTCGTCTGCTGGCGGATTTGACAATCTGAATAGCCTCTTGTGTGTTCAACGGGGACTTAATTCTAAGTCCTGCCGGAACGAGACTAAAATCCTTGCAGCGGTGGTTGAACCAGTGTTGTTGGCGTATGCGTCTGACGTTGCTTGCAAAACGTAAGGCTCCTGCCAAAAATTTTGCCCCAGGGCCCCAAAAAGTGTTTGGGCAGCCTCTTTTTATATTTAATAAAAAAATCCCACATGATAACATAAATAATGAGTTATTTTATTATTATTAGAACAAGGAACTAAATGGTATCAACATAAGATGCAATTGGGTACGTGGAGGTAGTAGACTCCGGGGACACTTCAAGAAGTTCACAAATCTAAGCTATCTTAACTTATCAATGACTGCTTTATACTGTAACATTATTCTTGATATCTTAAGGGAAATCACTTCACCTTTGAAACATTTGAATTTAAATGGCTGTAATTTAATGCGACATGGTGACAAATTAAGTGAAATGGCAGGATTGCCGTCTACTCATAAATTGGAATACCTCCAGATGGGAAGTAATGGCATAACGAGTATAGATAGTCTTTTGCCCTTGCTAAAATGGTGCAAAGAAACATTAGTCAAGCTCCGCCTGCATGGAAATCGTCTCAAAGATGATTCCATACAGAAGATATTATCATTGTTTCGTCCACCTTTTTGTTTGGACGAATTGCATTTACAGGAAAACTTTTTCTCCGACGATTCAAACAGTTTGCTGAAAAATATGACAAAGTTGTCTAAAACAACAGTACTTGTTTAATTCAATGCCATGCTGAAGAACTCGTCATCGAGGCTGACTTACTAAAGCCTTCATCAGAGGAGGTCCTGGATTTTTACTGGTCTTCGAACTGCATTTGAAAAGCCTTCTTGGAACTTAAACCAAAATGGAGAATGTGAATTTGTGCTGTCAGTAGGAGATTCATCATCTGAAAGATGAAACAGAGACCTGTTAACTTATTTTACTCATTTATCAAAAAATGGTTTTAATGAATTAAATGTAGACATTACCTGAAAGCTCATTGGTGATAATTGCTCTTCCAAAAAAATCCTTAGCTTGCTTGAGATAGAAAAATGTTTAAGCATTTAGTTGATGGTTTTGTGCTTGTCCAAGAGCTATTATAAACCTTTTTAGTCCAGTCTTGTGTCTTCATCGGCTGTGATCTGATGTTGAAACTTTAGTTCTTATATACTCCAGTCTAGTGTCTTCATCAGGTGTGATCTGATGTTGAAACTTTAGTTCTTATATACTCCAGTCTAGTGTCTTCATCAGTAGTGATCTGATGTTGAAACTTTAGTTCTTATATACTACAGTCTAGTGTCTTCATCTGGAGTGATCCGATATTGAAACTTCAGTCATATACTTATAGTATTTTATCTCAGACCAAACGTCATAAACAATCTTTTATTGCTAGATCTTGTAAATATATATATAATAAAGTTAACATATAATTCTTAGTATAGTGTGATAAATATATAGAAAATCAATGTGAATTCATCGTACTTTTTAATCTGAAGATGAATAATAAAAACCTTTAATCTCTTATATACTACAGTCTAGTGTCTTCATCTGGAGTGATCTGATGTAGAAACTTCAGTCACTCTATACTCCAGTCTAATGTCTTTATCTGATGTTGTTTCCCTATACATTGCATTGTTTTTATAACACTTACTTCCTGTTTTTTTAACTTCAATTCCTTCGGCTTTAAATGAAGTACAACGGAAGCTGACTGACAATCACTCGCTGATAGTGACTCACTTTCTTTTTCAATTTTCTCTTTCTTACAATCCTTCCCCTTCTCTTCGTTGCTACATACAATAATATAGTAAATTGTCGCCATTATTTCATAATACATAAAAAATGAACCTACTTCGAGCGTGTACATACCGGGATTTTCGGAAAACCATTTTTTCTGTTATGCGCATCTTTTCCAAACCAACCTGGACGAACGAATAAACTAAGTAATACATAGCCTCAGTTTGTTTTTTCCTCTCGGAATTTGACGTTTTCAGAACTTTGTTATTTTGGCTTGAGAAACGCGGACAAACAAGCAGAGCAAAGCAATTCTAGCATTGCTTTGCATTTAAATATTCGTCGATGACACCCTCGCTATTTTTAATTCATTTTTATTCCTAGCTAAACTTTGTCCAATCCACGCATTTTTTATCGCAGAAGGAAGATTGTCACTCTCAATATAGCAATACTAATGAATTTATAAAAACTCAGCTCAAATTCAGTGAAAACGTGCCCCCTTCAGTAATGCAGGAAATGTAAATGTTTAAACTAACAGAAACAAGCGTGTAATTCCTATTTTATACAACTTTAAGAAATTCTATTTGATTCACACCTTCGTTGTTTCTCCTTTATATTTATAACTTAAGATTGGTGAAACTCTCACTAATTTTAAATCTTTTTTTCTCGTAGCTAATTGCGAATTTAAATTACAAAAAGCACATGTTCAAACTAAAAAGCCATAAGCGCGCAGTTTTTTGGTTTATACAACATTGAAGAGTTTAATTTCATCCACATGCTTGTAGTTCATTCTGAATTGTGTCTATGGCTTCAAGTTTGCCAGAAAAACTGAAGTTCAAAAAACTCGAACAAAAAAGTTTGCAGAACAACTTGCTCTCAATAACGATTTAACTGAGGAGCTAACTAGTACACACGCAAGGATCAACAGACTAAATAGGAATATAAATCTGTAGTATTGCCATACCTCTCTTGCGATCAACTGCTTCATTGCATAGGTCAACTGCTTATGCTGTGGCAGACCAGGAAATTTGACAGCTTCCTCGATTTTACTGGTTAAAACAACATAAAAAAATACAAGATTGAGTTTTGTATGATTTCATTTGATGAAAACTGAAATCTAAATACAGCTTTGAAGCCCGCTAATAACTACAAAAGTATAGAGGGTATGAAAAAGTGAATGGAACTTTAAATAGCCATTGTGCATTTGGTCTTCTATTTTGCGCTCATACATGAATGCGGCACTAAAATGAAGTTCTTTATCATTCCAGTGATACGTTTTTCATTTCAAAACAATAAGAAATGATCGTGTAGTCCTCAAATAAAAAGTTATAGACGAAATTTCATTTTTCCGCTGTTGGTAATCGAAGGCAGTTGATGAAGTTTCACCACAGTATAGTGAAGAAACAGACTACTAATAGACATAATAACATTTCTCAATTCGAATTGGTTAAGAACAGGGGAATTTTTCCTAAATACTAGTGCGAAAAAAAGAAGCACCAGTGCAAAAAGCGAAACATCTGAAAATTTCTTTTTGAAATTGCTCCTGATTGGTTAGTCGTGAGCAATTTGGAAAACAATTTAAAACCACCTTTAAACCACGCTAAAGCCACTCACAAATCACCCTTTACAACCTCTCTTAAACCATATTAAACCCCACTAAAGAACCCTTAAACCACCTTAGACCATCCTTAAACTACTCTTAGACCACCTTTAAACCACGCTAAAGCCACTCAAACCACCCTTTATAACCTCTCTTAAACCATATTAAACCCCACTAAACAACCTTTAAACCACCTTAGACCACCCTTAAACCCTTAAACTACTCTTAGACCATCTTTAAACCAACCTTAAACCAACTTTGCACTACCCTTAAACCACCATTAATCCATATTTAAACAACCCTTATACTCTTTAACCATCCTTTAATCACCCTTAAGCAACCTTTAAACCACCCTTAAATCACCCTTAAGCAACCTTTAAAGTTTAAACCACCCTTAAACCAACCCCAAACCACTCTTAAAACACTAATAAACCACCCTTAAACAACTACTAAACCACTCTTAAATGTAAAGAGGTTTTGTCAGTAAATCATTAGCTTCGTCGGTAAAATTATTGAATGCTCCTGATCTGATTACCGCTCAATACGCAACCGCTCATAATGTAAAAATAAGGTATAGAGATGTACATACGGATCAAAGATGTAAGAATATTGTCCCTCAATGTTCCTCTCTTGCAGGTAGTTGATGTTGTAGGTAATCATGGTATTGATGAGGTCACGCATTTGCTGTTTTTCATCAGAACTGAATAACTGCATGTTGATCTATAAAGACAAAACATATTCTCACGTGACCAAAGCACAATAGAGTGTTTTGATATGACGTCATAGCGGCCATGTTGGTAGGTTACTTCAAAGGAAAAGGAAAACATATTCTTGTTACAAATTTTGAAATGTCGAAAACTGTGAATATATTCTGGGAAAAAGGATTGTGAACGATCAACATCTACAAACAATGGATTGAAGATAGAACTTACCGTACGAAGTGTTCGGGTGAAGCTAAGGTTTGGAATTACGGAAGAAACATTTGATAGGGGTTGGAGTTAGAACTTACCGAACGAAGTGTTCGGGTAAGGCTAAGGTTTGGACTTAAGGAAGAAGAACTTGACAGGGGTTGGAGATAGAACTTACCGGACGAAGTGTTGGGGTGATTATATGCAACAGAAGCGGCAGCACTTCCACAGAAATTTTTCGAACATCAAGGCCTCCTCTCACGGGAGGTGATACATCGCACAACAATGATGTAATGATATTTCGTATCCGAGCCTCCTTTAGTGAATTCTTAAAAAGAAAGAAATATTAAATTCTATCAGCCGTTTAATTCTAACGCTGTGGGAACATCAACGTTTATACCTCGTATGCTAATCTTGGATAGTTTATCTTGGGTTGCGTTGGTGCAGCAAAAAGGGTGTGAAAGAGAACGGGGAGAAATGGTTGATATCGCATCATGATGAAGCTTTGATGTTCATGTAGATAATGTGAGATCAAATCTGCGAATTGTAGCCATTCTGTCGCCATAACGACCTTCAATGACAATTATGAAATAAACATAATAAAACGCGCGCGTTGATTGGTCTATAGCTGTGTTTGCGTAAGCCTGTGCGAAACGTAACACGGCGCATGCGTGCTTATGAATTTAATGGTCAATATTCACAAGCACGCATGCGCCATGTTACGTTTTGCTACGATACGTTACGATACGTGGCTAGTGGACAACAGGCTTAAGCCTGTGCAAAACAGATCTGAAGTCAAACAATAAAAAAAATCGTGAATATACTTTAGAGGAAAAATTAAAACGTTTGCTTCGAATTAGTCTGTTTCCCATGAAACATTCGGAGACGTTTGTGAGAACTCTGGAGCATGTGCAACCTTCGACCTTCGGTCTGGAGCTTGCACTGATCAGCTCTCAAGTTCTCCCAAACGTCTCCTCGGTTTGCATAAGCCTGTGCAAACAAAGTTTAAATGTTTCATGCACTCAGCGTCCAATCAAGTGCCGTTTAGGGCGCATGCTCAAACAATACAGAAGCTCCTATCAAGATTGCTATGTATATACCTGGTTCAAATAAGAATCTTTGAATTTCATGCTAAGATAGTTTTCGAAAATTCCTATCAATAATAAAGAAATTATGAGAGTTGTAATGCAAACGCAATGGTGCGGTGGTCAGCACCAGTATGGCCATACATGCTAACGTTTTCACTAGGTCAGGCACTGTTTTGGAGGAAAACGTGAAAATATGGCCGCTCAAAATGTCTGGTAAGGTAAAAGTTGATCGGTCAAAAAGCATTTTCGACATGTCATTTTCCGCTGACCGACGTTTATTTTGAGCCCTATGTGTGTGCTTACAACAACACTGACTGCTAAAGGAAAATGGATGAGGCTGTTTCTATAGTTACGGTGACGAAAGCATCTATCTTACCGTTCTCTAGTTTGTTATACTGGCCGTTAGATGATACCAAGTGAAGCAAGTTATAAAATGTAGCCGCGGAGTTTTTGAGACCGGATGCCCTCGTGGGGTCATCAGAACCAAACTCGGGTAACATCGGAGAAGGTTCGTTAAGTGGTTCGATCAACGTGGCAAGCCGCTTGTTCTTCGCCCTTGGTAGTTGAAATACCGCTTTCCATAAAGAGAACAGGCTCTTCTGACTATCTTTCAGACCGATATTTTCTGACTGGATGTACTCAATGCTTAAAACTTTCCCCCTTTGTCGAAGAAACTAATAAGAAAGAAAAAAACTGTGAAGATTAGCATTTCTTCAGAAAAAAGCCTACATGAAGAACTTATGGATGTGGAAATGGATTAAAACCTGGAGAGTATTAAGACACGATCGAATGTCGTTCTCAGTCTTTTCGCAGAGTGCCAGTAATGTAGACATATCGGTTTGAAATAGTTCCTTTCTCGACACCTTAATTTTATACAAAAAAATATTTCACTCGTCATCCCTCAAAACAAAAAAATATTTCACTCGTCATCCCTAAAACAGAAAAAATATTTCACTCGTCATCCCTCAAAACAAAAAATATTTTACTCGTCATCCCTCAAAACAAAAAATATTTCACTCGTCATCCCTCAAACAAAAAATATTTCACTCGTCATCCCTCAAAACAAAAAATATTTCACTCGTCATCCCTCAAAACAAAAAATATTTCACTCGTCATCCCTCAAAACAAAAAATATTTCACTCGTCATCCCTCAAAACAAAAAATATTTCACTCGTCATCCCTCAAAACAAAAAAAATATTTCACTCGTCATCCCTCAAAACAAAAAAAATATTTCACTCGTCATCCCTAAAACAAAAAAATATTTCCCTCGTCATCCCTCAAAACAAAAAAATATTTCCCTCGTCATCCCTCTGCTTACAGTCACGTCATCCCTCCTGTCGTGACTGTAAGCAGAGGGGGCCCTCAGACCTGAAGTTTTAAAAAAGCATATCGGGGAGGGGGGAGCAGGGAGGGTACGTGGGCGTGCTCTTAAAAATTTTCCACTTTTACCAGACTAAACACCGAAGCATAGCTTGAAATCGAGGAAGATGAATACCTCAAGTAATCTTTGAGCCAGTCTGCCTGACATCGTGGGAGGGAAAGTCAGCACAAACGCTAGTTGACGAAGTTGCCTCAGCGCAGGCACATAGCTACAAATCAAAGAGAAGCTAGAATTAAATTAACACAAGAAAACTAACACAAATAAACTATAAAAAGTTAACTAAAACAAGTAAACTAACACGAGAAAACTAACTCAAGAAAACTAACACAAGTGAACTGACACAAATGAAATAACACGACTGAAACAACACAAGAAAACAACACAAGTGAACAAACACAAGTAAACTGACACAACTAAAATAACACGACTGAAACAACACAAGTAAACTAACACAAGTGAACTAACAAAAATGAAATAACACAACTGAAACAACACAAGTAAACTAACACAAGTGAACTAACACAAATGAAATAACACAACTGAAACAACACAAGAAAACTAACACAAATGAATCAACGCAATGGAATCAACGCAATGGAATCAACACAATGGAATCAACACAATGGAATCAACACAAGACAAGAGATACACAAATAACACCACAACAAAACTGATTTATGTCAGTATTGTAGAACACCACCAACGGAAATATGATCTGCGACTGCGAACACACTTTTAAAAGGAAGCCTGGGATGAGGTTTGCCAGTCTTCATAATTTTTTTTGAAAAAAACACCTACTTACGGATCGTTGCAAATACATATAATCGGACGAGATAAAATAACGTGTTTATGTCGTTTCTTCCGTTTCTTCTGCGTGTTGTCGTCATTGGATGCTTCTGGAATGTTTTCGAAAAAACACGATAAGCTTCTGAGGTTTTCCCCCTCTAACATAAATAAAATTATGTCAAATTTCATACTCTGTAAGTCTGCATCCTTCTTTTTTATCAAAGAGAGCAAAACGTTTATTGCGGGCTGAAATAAAAGCATGGAAAGTCAAACGGCAAGCCGAAATAAAAGCAAAGTGGTTTTATCGCAGACAAAAGAGAACGGGAGAAGTCTGTTGTATCATATATGTCTAAGACTTAAACCACAGAATAGACATCTAACAGAAGGCCCACTCGGCAAAATTGGGGCGTATTTTTTCACTACGCATGCGTGACTTCCCATCAAGATACTTTCACAAAATCAATATGGAATAGTATTGCACGAGATGCTATTTTACTAATAATTCACATTTAAAGCAAAAGTTTGCCGAAATTTTTACAAAATTGTGTTATGTGCATCATGTAATGGCTTGAGCTTGCAGCATGTTGTTAGTCATTACGTACTGTAGGTGCTCCATCAATTTCATCAATAACAAGGCAGTTAGGTCTTTTGCCTGAGTCTAAAACTGACTGCATCTGAGTTGTGGACTCAATCTTATTTCGAAACACCTCCACTGAACGATCGTCGCTAAAGGTATAAAAGAAAATAAACAAACCATTACTATTCAATAAATGCTAAAACACAGAAAAATGCGCTATAACTGCGCGCGTCACTCCATTCAACAAGAGTGATATCTCTGTGTGAGTAACTATGTATGGGTTATAACATTCCCCCAACCAGTGTGGTAGCCAGCCCGCAAGTCAGAGGTGGACTGGCCTATAATGAAACCGGGAAAATTTCTCGGTGCGCCCATGTGGTCTATATAGTCTTTACCGCCCGGTTTTCAAAAAAATTTTACTTGGAAGAATGTTAGAACTCTTCAAGTAGCAGCAATAATTTATGCTCAATACAGCATCGCAAGCACATTCACTCCCCACACACAATAAAAATGGCTACTTGTTACAAACAGCACCTCTGTCTGAGTTTTCCCTGCGAGTCACGAAGAGATCGGCCCGCCTCTGCCGCAAGTTTATTCATGCTATGTAAATGCTAATGCGTTCACTCTATGTAAAAATAATAGATTACTAAAGAAATGAACATTGATAATGATCTGAAATTTACATAGCACGACCAAATTTGAGGATTGGCTACAACACAGTCCTCAGCACCGTTCAACTTGTCAACCGACGACTGATTAACCCTTTGTAGCATGAATTTTTTCGCCGACTGAGCTCCATCGTGTTCGGTAATTGTTGCTGTGAAGCAACGCCATGCAGCTAGGGTTAATTCGACAAAACTCGCTCGCAGCCGCATCTGTTGTAGACAGCAGCTTTCACCAGACAGCAGCTTTCACCAGACAGCAGCTTTCACCAGACAGCAGCTTTCACCAGACAGCAGCTTTCACCAGACAGCAGCTTTCACCAGACAGCAGCTTTCACCAGACAGCTGCTTTCACCAGACAGCAGCTTTCACCAGACAGCAGCTTTCACCAGACAGCAGCTTTCACCAGACGGCAGCTTTCACCAGACAGCAGCCTCATGTATGTTGTCGCGCGTGTTGTGCGTTGCGGTGCATGAGTTTCACGAAGCCTTTGGTGCACGTACACAGCACGTACGCCACAGTTTCTTGTACCATTAACCCATTGTAGCATGAATTTTTTCGCCGACCGAGCTCCAACGTGTTTGGTGATTGTTGCTCTGACGCAACACCATGCAGCCAAGGGTCAACAAAGCAACATTCCGAAACAAAAAGATACAATATACAACAACACAAGCATACCTTGCATTCATTTCAACAACATTGTATCCAGCATGTTGAGCAACTATGTGCGCTAATGTAGTTTTACCAAGACCAGGCGGACCACATAACAATGCAATCTGAAATCAAAACATCACGCCAAATCACCCATGTTCTGTGGCGTCCACTGATATGTATAATATATGGATGGCGCATACATTGTTAAAAATGTAACCTGAAGTTTGTGCAGAGCGTAGGCCTTACATTTCTATAAATATATATGGGCGATGTGATCATTTTAGGCTTTCGTGCGTTTTATATTCTCACCATCGCTTTTTTATTCTTGGACATTTAAAATAACAAGAAGAGATGCTTCTAGTGAAAAAATCAGATCTGATTCGTGTTCGCGCACTTGTGCCACCTCAATTTTCTGGCGTTACAAAGCCAGTAAAACAAAACTTAAAGGATTAAAATTCTCTACCGGTCTTCTTGTCCATTTGATAAAAATTTTGCTCGAATCAAATGTTTGTAAAAGAAATGAAAACGCTATAACTGTGATTTTATAATACAAAAGTGCAGTGGTGCCCCCCACGAAGGTCGTAAGCAAATGAGCAAACTTCCAGCTTCAATTTTCGCACTTTATAGCATACATGCATGCACTATCCAGATATTATATACATATCAGTGGTGCCGTGAAAGAGAAATGACGTCACATCACCATAGATCTGAGAATGTATTAAGATAGTAAAACACACGCAAGGATGTGTCCCGGATGTTTTTGTGGAGTGGGTGTTCTAGTTTGGATTTGATTTTGACGGCGTCTTTGTGTGTGAATGGTTCGAACCTGGGAATATCGTAACATGTTTGTGGATGTAGACCGTGCAGGTTAGTAGAGTCCCGAGAAGGACTGTTGGTATTGATGTAGACTGACGATTCGACAACTTTAGCGGTAGTCATCTTCAGAGTCACTTGACTCTTAGTACAGTTCTTGTGTGTGTCGCCTTAGCATGATTTTTTCAAATTATCTCAACGTTGACAGAGAGATAAGTTTTGGAAGCTCCATACACCACAAATCATACTTCCTTTCGCTTAATTGCTTGGCGTATTGATATTTTGTTGGGAAACTGGTACCTTTCATTGCCCCTACTAGCTGGTACCTTTCATTTGCCCCTACTAGCTGGTACCTTTCATTCGCCCCTACTAGCTGGCACCTTTCATTCGCCCCTACTAGCCATTCCTTCCATTCCTTCCTTCATTCCTTTCATTCCTTATTCCTTTCCCCCCTACCATTCCTTGGTTCCTTTCATCCCCCCTAGCTATTTCATTTCCATTCCTTCATTTACTAGCTGGTACCTTTGCCCCTACTAGCTTACCTTTCATTTGCCCCTACTAGCTGGTACCTTTCATTGCCCCTACTAGCTGGTACCTTCATTGCCCTATTTCATACCATTTCCTTCATTTTCCTTTCATTCCCTTCCCTTACATTCCTTCACTTACCTTTCATCTGTCCTACTAGCTGGTACTATTTCGCCCCTACTAGACACTAAACTCGCAGGGTTTTGAAAGCTTTCGAAAGTTTTGGCAGCTCCATGTTCGCGATGTGATAACGCAAGAAACTTAGGATTGTAATGTAACTGTTTCATTTTAGTTATTTTCAATCAGTTTTTCTCCTTTTCTAGCAAACATTACAAAAAACCTCCAAAATCCCTTTGACATACATATTTCGTTAATTGCTTAAACCATTTAAAATTTCCTGTTCCTTCGGCGCTCGTTCATTAATTTGAAAATTTTCTACACCTTTAAAAACTTAGCACATAATGCATCATAAATGTTCAAGCAATAAGCTAAATTTGTGAGTGTACCTCCCATAAGGGAAAACCACCCTCTAAAAAAAGGTTATGGTTGTGTGGACACCTGGACGCCCACAGCTTTACAATCCCAAGTAAATTCACCTTTGATTGACATATCTTGTACTAAAGACGACATTAATCTTTTGTTTCTCAGCGTTTCCGTATGGCAAAACAAAGGAAACCATCCGAAATGCAAAGGAGCAAAAAAGTTGAAAAGTAGAGGGTCAAAGATGACTCTTCGTTATGACAACATTTTCAAGGGTAAATGAAAACGAAAAAGTTAGGGTAATACAGTTATGAATGGAACAAACGGTTATCACGTTAGCGGATCCAGAGTTAGGCAGAACAAATAATAAAACTGGTCATTTGAAATATCTTTCGAACAATGTCACTGGTAATAAATTTTTCAAACAATAAAATCCACCCATATGGACTGATGTAATTTATGTTGCTTAACCCAGGATCGGCTACTGAGATATCATTGCCTGTTGTCAAAACGCATTCACAAAACAACGCAAAAAAAACTATAAAAATATTTTATCACGGAATACAGCAAGGACGAGAGATAATGCAACCAGTATAACTATATATGTTGTTGAATACTGAACCTTGTGAGATGGTCGTCCAGTGACATCGAGTTCCTAAAAAAATCAAGCAGAGATAATTACAAAAACATTTTGCAGGTATTTACGTATGCATCGCATTTTGTCTATTTCTGTGGGGAGGATGCACAATATCTCGGTAATGTATCTATTTAGGGGGGGAGGGGTGAACTGTATCTGAGTAATGCACCTTATTTTGTTAATCTCTGGGGGGAGGGGTGCAGTATATCTCTAGCCAGCACTCTGGACCGAACTGAGCAAAAACGTTTTGCTAAAATCCAAACTCAATATTAACCGAGTGATTATCTAAAGATTAAGTCCTGTTCCATCAAAGGTGTGAGCAGAAATACTGTCGTGAAGGCAATAAAAAAACATTGCTATCCAAGTTTGTACTAAGCAAACATGAAAAATTACCGTAATGTGTATGGTAACGGGAAAAAACCATTATCTCACCATTGCTTCATCATGTTCTTCTTTATAATTGAAATGTTTTCGTTTATTTTCCTTCTTTTGAATTTTCTCAGCATGTTTCCTTCTTGTCTTGACGTTCTCCTTTCCAAAAACAGCACCGTCCCATAGTTTTAACCATGTCAACAAATTCCTGTTGATGCCCTGGAAAAAATAAGAAAGAAAACACATGGAAGCATTTCTAAAGTCTTCGTTACAAAGTACATTTATAATCACGAAGAACTTTTAATCAGACTCACACCGTAGAGTCTTGAAAGCAACCTCTCACTGAAAAAGCCTTTCGGTCGAAAGTAACCACTTCTCTCTAACGTAACCGCCCCTCTTTAAAGTAACGGCCCCTCTCTAACGTAATCGCCCCTCTTTAAAGTAACGGCCCCTCTCTAACGTAATCACCCCTCTTTAAAGTAACCGCCCCTCTCTAACGTAATCATCCCAATCTAAAGTAACCACCCCTCTCTAAAGTAACCGCCCCTCTCTAACGTAATCACCTCTCTGTAAAGTAACCGCCCCTCTCTAAAGGTAACCGCCCTCTCTAAAGTAACCGCTCGTCTCTAAAGTAACCCTCTCTAACATAATCATCCCAATCTAAAGTAACCCCCTCTCTAAAGTAACTACCCCTCCCTGCCCTCTCTAAAGTAACCACCCTCTCTAAAAACCGCCCTCTCTAAAGGTAACCGCCCCTCTCTAAAGTAACCACCCCTCTCTAAAGTAACCACCCCTCTTTAACGTAACCGCCCCTCTTTAAATTAACCGCCCTCTTTATAGAACTTTTAAAGCTCTAACACATTTATACTTTTATCCAAATAAAATGTTCATGTAGATTTGCACTTTTTTTTTACCATTGCACTACTTTTTAACATTTCAAGGAAATTGTTACTTACATCATCACTAAGCAATTCTATGTATGATCTAGGAGAATATTTATCAACCCAAAGTGATTTCATTTGCTCTTTTTCAGGAACCTGTTCTTTTGCAATCATTTCCACGTTGTTGCCCGTTAATTCATCTGTGAGAACACTACAAAAACAACAACAGGAATTCATAAAACACTCATTACACTAAAACAAACACATCATTTACATACTTATTTAATGTTTCTGTAAGTTTTCTTGATTCTTCAAGCAATTTGAGACGTTTCTAACGAATTGTATGAAAACATAAAGAATCGAACAACTTCAATAAAAAAAACAATACCTTCCATTCATCCCCAGCCAACTCCCATCATCCTTGGCGAAGTCTTATTATCCCTAACCAACTTCTATCATCTCTAGCCATCTTCCATTATCCCTAGCCAACTTCCATTATCCCTAACCACCTTCCATCATCCCTAGCCAACTTCCATCATCCCTAGACAACTCCCATCATCCCTAGCCAACTTCCATGATCTCCAGCCAATTTCCATCATTCCTAGCCAACTTCCATCATCCCTAGCCAACCTCTCATCATCTCCAGCCAACCTTCCATCATCTCTAGCAAACTTCCATCATCCCTAGCCAACTTCCATTGTCTCTAGCAAACTTCCATCATCCCCAGCAAACTTCCATCATCTCTAGCAAACTTCCATCATCCCTAGCAAATCTCCACAATCTCTAGCAAACTTACATCATCTCTAGTTAACTTAAATCATCTGGTGCTACTTCCATGGGGAGAAAAGTTTAACGGAAGACAAATATGACTTACTTCTTCATAAATTGTTTCTCTGAGAACAGAAAAAGGAACACCAAGAAGATTAACTGGAGTCTTGCCATCCAAGAACTTTGCTTTGACCATCTGAATGAAGAAGCAAGGAAATAACAAACAATTTAAAAGTGGTCATAAAACTTTCAACAAGTACGCAATTAATTTTGATGACGTGCAAGAGAAAAACCTCTTTTGATTCCTCTCTTTTAATATGAAGATACACTCTTCTTCCTCCATCTGTTCCAGTAACTGATACACAATCTTCACCAATAAGTGGCCTGGCAAACACTTTAGGCCTTGCATTAACTGAATGTGTAGTTGAACGGTAACTTTCATTTTCATTAAAAGTACGGTTAGCTGAGTCAATAGTTGAAACAGTATTTAAATCAAGTCTAACTCGCTTGTTTTCACTTGAATTCAAAATATGATCATTACTGTTTAATGCATCATCACTATCTTCTTCATTAGACAAAAGGTCATACATCTTATCAATTTGGCGTTTAAATCCTCTTGTAATGTCCCTCTTGTACTGGTTGGGATTCTCTAATGATACCTTTGAAGATTTATCAGGCGTAGCAAAAACTAATGTTTTCCTTGATGTATAATGGCTAGGATTCCTTGTCTTGATGTTTTCCTCTTAAAAAGAAAAATTATCGCGTTATTGATTCCTTTATTTGAAAACTTGAAAGTTAAGTAAATTTTATCAAGTTATATACACAACACAACAAAAGTTTGGCCTTCGCCTACGGCTCAAAACTTCTCCAGCCAACTAGAAAGACAACGACAATCAATGTCAATAAATGCATCAAAATAGTTAAAGTAAAAGTTTTCATTTGAAAATCATTGGATGTTGAAGCCAGGTCTTCCATATCGAATATGGAGTCAAAAGTCAAAGATACTCCAAAATCTAAAGTACCTTCTTCCATTTCGTTGAGCAGCTCCAACTCATCGGCATAACGTCTTTCGAAGTCATCTTCATATGCTAGAGCTTCCCAATCTTCCTCCATTGTAAGTAAAATACTTTACACCGTACACAACAGAAATTTTAAAGTTTCTAAGACCGAACTCTCAACAAACATTTATAAAGATGTTTTCATGACAAAGTTCCCGCCACTGCTATCCATCACTGACCTGTATACAAATTATTTTATACTGGAATATACTTAATAAGTATACTGGAATGATAACTCAGGGAGTGAAATTGAAGCCGTGTTTTGTACGTAGTGCCAGTCCTTTGTAACCTTATTTTTCGAAAAATACACTTTTTAAATCGCTAAATTTCACCCTCATCTGTTTGTTTAATACCTTCAATACTTAGCTTTGACTATAGTAGAGGCATTGAATATTTTACACAAGAAACTACATAGTGCAAAGTCGTTTAATTTCTGAAATATTATCTGACAAAAACAAAAGTTGGCAAAAAAACGCGCGAATATATTTTCCTTTTCTGAGTTATGAGACTTTCCAAAACGAGTTAAAAGGTTTTAGTGATTCGATATTTGAAGTAAACATAAGTTACACTGAAAAAACTGCTGTTTAAGCACGAGCGACTTTTTTACGAGTTCTAAAGATAGCAAGTACCATAGTGAATGGTAAAAGTAATAATAATAAGTTGATAGTTCTTTTAAGAAGCAATATAATAAGTTGATAGTTCTTTTAAGATATTCAATGTTGGAAGTTTCATTTTCAAGTATTTCTTCTACCTCAATTCACGAATTATAATATCTGTCATAAATATTGGAGCATTTATGCACAAAATATGCAGATACAAAGTTATAGAGAAAATAAAAACATATCTAACATTGTCACGAATATTACGAGTGGCGTTAGTAAGTGTTGATGAATTTGATATGCATTTGTCAAAACAAGCTTAAGAAGACAAAGAGCATGCCAAAAATACATTATTGAAAATTGCTAAGCGCATATAGAAGCACCAATTTCAGAGCTCGTTCCGTCACAAATTGAGAATTTATCTCAACATGAGTAGTCAACTCCACCTACTCTCCAAGTTCACAGTCATGGGAACGACCAACTGTATGTACTAATGTACTAGTATCATCGCTATCTTGTACCCAGGCTTTCGGAAATCACACGCATTTCATATTAGGTTAGGGGCAGGGTTTTGCATTGGGCGGTCTCCAATGCCTGAAAGATTGATAGCTACAGGGATTGAGTGGCGGTGAATTATACTGAAGGTTCGAGATCTTGTGAAAGCCACATGATTTTCATGATATTGAATTTAAGTAGCGATTGCTTAGATCTTACATAGGGCTGTTTGTAAACAATTTCTACTAATTTACCTCGAAGCATCTCAAAATATAAACGAGAACAATATGAGCTTTCAAACAATTTATTTTTTGTGAAGAGAACTATCATCAGTCTTAAACTTCGACAGCTTCTTCACGTTCCTTGTCCTTCTTCAACAGACCCATGAAAGCCTTCTTTTCTTCTTCAGTCTGGAAGCGACCATGACCAAACTTAGAGGAAGTGTCAATGAGTTTTAGATTAATCTCCTCAGTTGCTTTACGACTTGTCTGCACAAGTAGTGACTATAAACAATCATGTACAGTTGATTAATTCATTGACCTCATCAATAAATAAAATAAAGCTACTTATTCTGGCTATTTCTAGCATTGAGCAAGCAAGGGAAAGTATTTTACTGATTTCCTTCCCGCATTTGGGAATGTGCAACCATCTGAATGTGATGTTGTTTACAATCAGTCTGACTCCCCCCCCCCGTATTGAAAGCATAGCAAATGTAATGATCCTTTGATTTAAGACAACAGATTGTTTTACACAAACCTTCCTTAGTGTTAACACACGCTTTTTTGGACCAACAACACATCCTTTCAACATCAAAAAGTCTTCATTTACTTCACCATAATGTGGGAAGCCACCCTAATAGTATCAATTTGACATTTAGCACGAAATAGTCGAACGAAGTCAACATTCACATACACTAGAACATGGGTCTCCAAAGTTTACAGCCATAGGGCCACATGAACTTTCATCCAGCATGTTGAGGGTCGACGAACCGTACACCGCTGGTCAAAGAGCGAGTATTTTAATAAAACGAAGTACATAACACAAGCTTTATTAGTTAAGAAAATATCTCCTTTCTTAGCTCAAAAACATTTGACAGCACTTTTCCACAACTTAGCCATCTTACTGCAGTTTAATATGGATTCTATCTCAGTAGGAAGTTGGGACAAATATTGACGTAAGCCACTCTTGCTAGTTGGTTTGCGTCATAACGTGAACTTTCTGCACAAAGTTTATTTTGTTTAATAATATTATTTTTTTCCTTAAGTGTGTCAGCGGGCCGCATTTGGCCCGCGGGCCGTAGTTTGGAGACCCCTGCACTAGAAGATACGCAATCTTGTAGAAACATAGTGCAACTCACCATTGGTGTAATGCTCTTGTCAGAAATATCAAATGGAGTGGCAGCATTGTTCTTTATCACCTTACCATCTTTGGTATGAATACCAGCACCAACACGATAAATCTTTTTATTCATTTCAGTCCTATGATGGTAACCACATTGACCAGCACGAGCCACAGCAAATGAAACTCTTGCTGGATGCCATGCTCCAATACAAGCTACTTTTCTTAAACCTTTATGGGTTTTACGAGGCAATTTCTTGGTACCCCAACGGTATGTGACACCTTAGGGAAAAAGAGAGATCAAAAGCTAGCGCGATAAACAATAAACTACTAGTAACTACTTCCTAATAATAAACTTTAATCTACTAGTAAACCACTAACTACTAGTAAGCTGCTTAGTACCAGTAAACTACTATCCACCATTGAGCTACAATCCACCAGTAAACTACTATCCACCATTGAGCTAAAATCCACCAGTAAACTACAATCCACCAGTAAACTACTTTCCACCAATAAACTACTATCCACCATTGAGCTACAATGCACCTGTAAACTACACTCCACCAGTGAACTACAATTCACCAGTAAACTACTATCCAACAGTGAACTACAAACTACCAGTAAGCTAACAACTACTGGTAAGGTACTAACTACAAGTGCACTACTACTACACCACTAGAAACCAACAGTAAGTTATGTACTATCAGACCTTTAAAGCCTTTTCCTTTTGTAACACCAATCACATCAATCATTTCATCTTTGCTGAAAACCTTGGAGACTGGTGCTGGATTTTCCAATCTTTCCTTGGCCCAGTCCACTTTCTCAGCAATATCACCTCCATTCACCTGAATCTCCATTACGTGAGCTTTCTTTTGACGCAATTTGATCAGTTTTTGCTGAAGGAAAAATTTTCAAAATATCAACTTTGTAGCACTTGGTTGGAGGCATTCAATCTCATCAACAATTAGGAAATCTCTAATCTCGAATCAAAAAATATTTTTTGACAAAATATCTTCTTTTAAAGTCTCAATGTCTTGAATTTATAAAGAAATACCTGGGTATGTGCTATGACACGAATCACTTTACAATACTTTTTCATTCGTTCCAGATCCTTATCAATGCTTTCTTTGCCTTCGTCATCACCCCATTTACGACATGCTTTGGTGACGCTTTCTTCTTTGAGCGACACCTTAGGAAGTGGCAGGGCAACCATTCTATTACTTGCAAAAGGAAATGCTTGGATCTCATCGGGAAATAACCCTGAGAGGAGATCCAATGCTTAAGGGACGAGTCGATCAGCAATGGACATTTGTAATTAGAGTTTTTTGAGCGATATGTTTAAAGGCCTGTTCATACGAGCCTGGTTGTCTAGACATCTTGCCTACCTATGATCTTGCTTTGCAATACATTTACTATTAATATTTATGTCATGTTCATATGAGAAAGCAGGCTGGCCCAGTTGCTAAGATCTTGGCTGTACGAGACAAGATCATAGGTAGCCGGGATGATTCTCATATGAAAGCAAGGTAATGTTTGGCTCGCTCATTGAGATGTCTTGCTAACCAGTCTCATATGAACAGGCCTTAAGTTCGCAAAGTTTTTTGATAGAGCAAACAACATGTTTGTAAATTTAGATCATCCAGGTTGGTATAGTCCTGACAAGGACTGTTTTTGTTGTTGTTGACTGACGTTTCGACAACTATAGCGGAAGTCATCTTCAGAGTCATATGAGGAGTAAACGTCAGGTTAGCCGTAACCTGAAGACGACTACAGCTAAGGTTGTCGAAACGTCAGTCAACAACAACAAAAACAGTCCTTCTCAGGACTATACCAACCTGGACGATGTACATTTACAAACATGTAATGATACTCCCGTGTTCAAACCATTTACTTTAGTGCAAACAACCATGTTAGCCTAGTTTCAACAGTCCTTTATACTTACCAGTTCTTATAGAAACGTCTGCGACATTCTTCACTCAAATGCTCAGCCCATACTGTTGTCAACGGGCGGAGGCCATGGGGAGTTTCAATGTATCCCACAATGCCCACAATTATCATGGGTGGTGTTTCCACAATTGTAACAGCTTCGACAACTTCCTTCTTGTGAATTTCTAGGATTTTGAAAAATTCACACTATCAAGAAAAAGTATCATTTTCCACCAAATGAGAAACAAAAACAGTGAAAAATGTTTTCTCAAACACCCTTGGGAGCCCGATTGTGAATCAGCGTGGCAGGTGATGTAAGTTATATAAGCATATTTTGATGTGGTATCCACGCAGCTTGACTATAGTCTTGCCGAATGGAGCACTAAATACATAAGACAGTCAAGATTTAAGACTGTTCAGTCTAAGCTATTCTAGGTAGCAAGGCCTTTTTAAGCGATGTAATAGAAGCTATATTAGTTGTTTTGATGAGTCATAAATGTCAAGCTTGCTACAGATTGGCTGCAACAGCTGCCAGTTGTGTGTGAGAAATAATATTTGTGGGCCGTTCTCACATAATCATGTTTGACATTCACGAAGTAATTCTGTTGTTAGCTTCAGCCATTGACAATAATTAAGTCGTTACAAAGTATAGGATAGTAATTGTGTCTTGGGGCAGTTTTATCTAGATATGTACGCTGTTATAGTCTTCCACTGTTCTGCTTGGGGATACAAAGACAAACTTGCTAAGTTCTTATAACAAGGGCCTAACTCTGTTAACTTTGATAAGGCAATGGAATAGAATAAAAAAGACATGAAAAAATACAACCAACAATCCTATTTGTAGGCTGTTGCGGTATATTGAAATATCGATAAATATCAGGGTTTTTTTAATATCAGTGTATCGACATTGGTTTTTTCGGTATATCGAAGTATACATATACAAAAATATCAAAAAAATTAACAAAATATTCGGTGTTATGATATATTTAGTTTTTATAGATAATTTTTAATGGTTTTTTAGTGGTTCTATAGCGGTTTTTAAATGGTTTTGTATACTATTATACAATCTTGACCCAATCTTACATGCACGGTAATTGTTGGCTAAGTTTTAACAATTTGATTTGACTCATAAACAGTACTAGGCAATTTTTTGCTAAGTTTCAATTTGATCTAGTTATGAGTCATCACCAACAACACTATATATAATGAAAAAAATATCCGAAAAAATATCGATATTTTTTTTTGATACATTGATATCGGTTTTTTCTTCATACCGCGGCAGCCTACCTAATTTAAACAGAAATGAACATAATAACATAAACCAACACATTCAAGTAGCTTTGAAATGTTTCCATAAAAACTCAAAATATATCAGAGAATTGCACTTATTAATAATATTAATGATTCACTTATTAAATACATACTAGAACCAGGTCTGTTAACTTCACGTAACACATGTGTCATTCCAGCCTTGAAGCCCATGAATGCTGTCAGATGAGGTGGTGCGGACTTGTCATCCTTGGGAAAGGACTTGACCTTACCACGATGACGTTTGCATCGCTTACGAGGCAAGAAACCTTTGGAACCATGACGAGGGGCAGAAAACTTTCTGTGAGACTAGAAAGTTGATATGTTATTTATATTAAAATGGCAGTTGATAGAAAACTTTAAACAATGAATTTCACTAATAAGCAAAATTGGGTATAATATTTCGGAAAAATATTATAGAAGTGGAAGGGGGGCAGGCAAAAATATATCATTGGGAGGGCCAAAAAGGGGGAGTGGGTTCCAATCTGGAACTGAACTGAAGGCTACATTTTCAGCAAAAAAGTCAAAAGACTACTGAATATAGATTTAGGCATTTTGATACTTGAGTATTTAGAGCGAATAAACAATATTGTACAGGGAAAATACTGTAAGGAACAGTGATAAGGAATGACGGACGGCCATGTTGTGTGTGAATCGATAATGGATTTTGAAGTCGAAGACAACTGCAAACAGCCAAAAAACCAAAAACATAAAATGTGTAACAGAAAGAGCATCACTTCAGCCAAATACAAACTATGATAAGGGGATTTTGATACGTTTCCGCAGAAATGGGGGAAACATAGTTGCCGAGTACGCGACTCTGTGATAACCTCGGATGTAAATTAGAAATGGATACTTGTGTGTCATGAATGTATTATACGTTTAAATGGAGTTAAAAAAAGAAAATATTAACAAAACCTTGAGGTAAAAAAGGTTATATTAAAGTATCTGTTAAAAGATATTTGCGATGGACTGTTCCTTCGCATAAAAATGAACGATTTTAAGCGCATGAAACTCACCATCCTTGCTTTCACAAAATTCACCAAAAGAGAACGTTCGGAGGTGACCACGATCTTTTTGGTCAGTAAACATAACTGGCTAAATTTTAGTTGATTTTAGTGTAGTAATTTCATATGAGTAACCAATCAGCGTCCTCAGTTTGGCATTCAATATGGACGATCAATTTATTTGTATAAAGTTTTTACCAACTTTCGCTTTTTTAGTAATAAACTTTATTGCACCATCAGTAAACCTCTCTTTTCACCTTATAGGCCGCAGTCAATTGACTAAGTAAGCTCCTTGACGCAGTCAATTGACTAAGTTCGTTCATATATTTTCCTGCGAATATTTTTTTGCAACTACAAAATTATTTATGAACAATCAATTATTTATGTTTTATTATTATTTATGTTTGTTGATGAATTTGAATGGTTAAAAGAAAAAAAAATTGAGAACGGGCGGACTTTAAAAAAATATTAAGATTGACTAAAAATTATTTAAAAAACTTAAAACAAAGCTGTCTTCATTTATTATCTGGAGCTTGGTGGATATCTGCCATACATGAGGAAGTAAAGTACAACATTGACGAAAAATATCATAATCATTCATAAAGTTCTATTGTTTATCGACTGACATGGTGAATGCCTTTTGATTGCATACTATTAACACCATATTTTCCCTTGAGAAATACATGAAAAGAAAGAATAAGTTGGCAACACAAAATTGTAATGTTTTTTCTATTGTTAATTAATTCATGATATTCACTAATACGTATAGCAAACCTATATAAAGAATTGCCAACACCCTTGCAGTTAGTTCGCTATCGAATTCGAAGACGCAAGATGATTCTAAAGCGCCGAAATTTGATTGTGCAAGTCTTTGCGTGGCTTGCATTCTTTACTTGCGTTCTAGCTACAGATGAAAACCTAAATACATTACAGGAGTAAGTAAACGGCACTCAGTGTGTGCTAACTTTGGGCAGTGCAACATGATTTAGGATGTATAGTTATAAGCATATTCTCTTAGAGTTTCTTTCCTAGCTAAACCGTGTTTGCTTTTGCGCCTCTTTGACTAAACTTAAGTATATTCACAAAGTGAAAATTATGAGTGAAATTCTCTTCTGTTTCAACAAAAAATTGATTTCTTATGTCGTTCATAAGTTTCATAAATGCTTTTAGTTTACTATTGTCTGTGATCAGTTGAAGTTTTACTACGAACGAATTTGTACTGTGTTTTTTAAGTCTTCAAGATCTAGAGCTGATGGACAGCGAAATAAGATCACCTTATGATTTCAACGACGAAGAAGATATAATTACCGAAGACGAAAACGATTACTCCTTCATTAACAAACGAGACTACGTTCCAAAACCGTCCGGTGAGTAAACTTTTCTCGTTAATCGAGCTTTCCACATGAGGTAGAACAATTAAAAAATTTCCGTAACTGCGTAAAAGCACTATTGAAAATGCGCATTTAATATATACGACAAGTTTTTAAAATAAACATGTTTCAACATCTTATGATGCCACCTTCAGTATCTAAGGGTGAATATAATCAAGGAATTATATTCCATAAGTAATTAAAGAAAGCGAAGCCTTAAGACAAACTCGCTACTTGCATTGCTATCTAGTGCAAATTATGTTTTAAAGAAAATTTCCAGTTGTGTTATTGATAAGACTGTCACTATTTTAAATGCAAGCCTTCAAGTAATTATCATTATGTTGTTTACCGTTGTGAACCATGTTGGTATTCATGTCTACAGAATTGTCAAAATAACCGATTAACCATTTGCATTAAACACAATATTAACATTAAAATTTATGTTCACTGACTAGATTTGTGTTATACTTGGGGCAATTACCATTTCAAAACATTTGATGGTCAATATTTCTACTATCCTGGACGTTGTACATATGCGCTTGCTGCCGATTGTAAAGACAATACCTTCGCCGTCCATATTTCAAACGCTCCTAACTGTCATAAAGGTCCTAGATGTCACCGACGAGTTTTTATTTATCTCAATGATGGTAACATCAAGGTAATATAATTCAAGTTCCTTTTCTGTTGATGACTACAATTTCCTGTAGAGAATGTTTCTTTTGAGACTTGATGAAATCACGGTTTAAACGATAAATGGCTCATCGCCTAGCAAGGCGACCATGTCACAATTTTAACATGTGCATTTTCTAAGTTTCACTTAAAAATTTAACAAACTTAAAATTGAAAAATTTAATAAACTCGAGAAAGTTACGAAGATACCACAGAGCTTTCTTTAACTCGGTATGTAAATCATTAACGTCCTCATGCGAAGTAAAATACCATGACCAAGAAAAAAGTTATCCCAAAATAAAAAACCCTAACCAACTAAAAATGTCGCATGATTTCGCTTGAGCTTTGACTTCCTTAATTTTTTAAGATTGAACTTTATGAAGACGAACGCGTCCTTGTAAATGGGAAACTTGTGAAACCACCTCACGTTATCAACAAAATAGTCGTCGACAAAATTGCAAATTACATCGTTGTTCACGGTTTTCCTGGTCTTAACATTCGCTGGGATGGTCAGAAAAGCGTTTATGTTCAACTTTCGTCAGATTATAATGGCAAAACATGTGGTTTGTGCGGTAACTTTAACAATCATCCGCTAGATGACTACAAAAAGTTATCAGGTCAACTGGCGAAGTCCGTTGTCGAATTTGCTAACAGTTATAAGATGGTCAACTTAAATGAAACTTGTGCGGACGTACTTGAAAGCAATGAGCCTATATGCAGCAAACTAAACCAAAACCATTCTTTCAAATATGCCCTCAAGAGCTGCAAAGCTTTATACTCAAAATATTTAGTAAATGTCACTCGGTTGTTAAACCAACAATTTATAAAAAGATGTGCTTATACGATGCTTGCACGTACATTGCCGAGAAGATGAACTGGACAAACTGCGATGTACTGACACAGTATTCAAGGACTTGCTCAAGAAATGGAATTAATTTATCTTGGCGAAAGAAATTGAATTGTGGTATGTTTGGCACAGCTTATATAACGTACTTCGGTGTAGCGTGCTCGTTCATCACAGCTTTAAAAGAAAGGAACTTTGTATATTTTAGCAAAAAGATATCATAAAGTTATAGCCCATCAAAACGTTCAATTTCCTAAATATTATTCCTATCATTTCAGAGGTGTCCTGTCCAGCTACAATGAATTTCAGCGAGTGCGAAACAGCTTGCCCAAGAACTTGTACTCATAAAGATGTAAATTACCTTTGTGATACGAACTGTATTGATGGTTGCACATGTCCAAATGGTACCCTTTATAATGGAACGAAATGTGTTGCAGAGAAATTTTGTCCATGTGAACATCACAGGAAGTTGTTTCCAGCTGGATCAACAATTATGAATGATTGCAACGAATGGTTTGTTTAATTAATAAATTTCACGTTCCACTAAAATTTAACCATTCTGACAAAATTAAACTCATGTTATAGTGAATGTGTTGGAGGTTTATGGTCATGTACAAACAAGGTTTGTCCAGGTCAGTATTGTCCTGTTTTATAACAAAATTTAAGTATTAAAACCCCGGGAAGTTCTTTCAAATCTTTTTGCAGTAGTAGATGAGAGAAATGTTATGATACACATTGATTTCATTTTTGGCTTTTAAAACGATATCTGTTTTATTTATAAGGTACATGCTCAGCAACTGGTGATCCTCACTATAGAACCTTCGATAGTAAAACGTATTCATTTATGGGTCATTGTCGTTATATTTTTGCTCGAGACTGTCGTTCAAACAACTTTTCAATCGAAGTACAAAATACTCCATGTGGTACCGGTGGCACAGTCACTTGTACCAAAACAGTTTATCTCTACATTAATGAGTCAAGCATAGTTTTCTTGAGAGGTGGAGCTGTAGAACTAAATGGTCAAGAAATTTCACTGCCATATTTTGCACCAGGTAACTCACAGACATGCGCAGACATCTTCGTGTGCATTACAAATTTTAGTACGTCTTTCAATTATTAATGTTTATAATCATTTATACCAAGGCATTGCAATCACCCGCATCGCGTTCGGAATGCTCCGACTTCGATCCAATATCGGTTTGGACGTGCAATGGGACACATTTACGCGTTTGTATGTAACTGTTCAACCACAGTATGCAAACAGTACTTGTGGCCTTTGTGGTAACTATAATGGCAACCAGGGAGATGATTTCATGAACAATGATGGTGCCATTGAGACAAATGTTGTAGCATTTGGAAACTCTTGGGTAGCTCGATGGTGCAATAAAACAGCGACTTCAATGGTGGACACGTGTGAGATAATGGTACAACGTTTTTCAATCGCAGAGTCAAAATGCAAGGTTCTAAAGCAAAAACCGTTCAGGGTGTGCCACCAGAGTGTTGATCCTGAAGATCAGTATATTCAAAACTGCAAATTTGACCTTTGTGGATGTCGAGATGGTACCCAATGTTACTGTGATGCTATTGCAGATTACGCCCATGCGTGTTTACGATATGGTCACGTGATAAACTGGAGAAATACGGGCCTTTTGCCAGAGTGTGGTAGGTGTTTACGAACATTAAATAAATAAGCAAACATAGAAAAAAATTTAATAATTTAAAAATATATGCCGAGGGAACCTATTGCTTAAAAATGTAACGCCTTTTTTGTGTATATGTTTAAATATTTCACGCCATATTTAAACTATCTATTTGAAGATGTCAAATGCGACAACAGTGAACAAAAATATCAACATTGCGGTACTTCATGTACGGGAACGTGTCGTGAACTTCAATTAAATGAACGATGTATCGAAGTTTGCTCTCCTGGCTGTCATTGTCCTAATGGTACCGCTTTAAATGACCAGAAAAAATGTGTCGCTGTATCAGAATGTCCATGTCATTATGAGAATAAATATTACCATCCTGGTGAATCCTATTGGCCTGACAGATGCACTAAATGGTAACTATAGATATTACATCATGCAGCACGAAGTTGTATAAAAGACATGTCGTTTTTCACTGGCTAACTGTCGCAACTTACTGTCAAATTTCCTCCATCCTTCTTACAAACTCAGTGTATGATTTTGATTTTCGTAATCATTTTATACTAACTCTTACTCTTTAAATGAAATAAGAGAAAACAGAGTATAAATAGCGTTTATCTGAAAGTTTTATTTGTTCTTCTTCTCTTTAGCACATGTTCAAATGGAAAAGTTCAATGTAAAAATGAAACATGTCAAGTCAAGTGTTCTTCTGGTCGTGCATGGTCGCAATGTGCTCAATGTGAGAAAACTTGTGGAAATGTTCACATGAAATGTCTGAACAAACAGTGTGAGGAAGGTTGTCTTTGTCCTCATTCACTCGTTTTTAATGGCACTCAGTGTGTTAACGTCTCCGAATGTCCGTGTCACTACAATAACCTCAAATACTCGCATGGCCAAACCATACATACTGACTGCAACACATGGTAAGTGAAAAGATGCATAAGTTAGGCGTAGTTTAACTCGACTGTTAAATGTGAACAATTCAATTTGTTACTAAATTCAACATCTTAAGCTTAAGTTATTATTCTAAATATAGTTCGCTTCGTGTTTAATTTCACTTCCATTTTATTTGTGTTTAGCTATAACACCCTTAAATTTTTCCACTAAAAAGCTTCCTTCTCTGAAGTACATTTCCGTTTGTAAACATTACGTTTTAGCGTTTGCAGCGATAACAAATGGATATGCACAAAGAAAAAATGTCCCAGAGTTTGTTCGGCCGTAGGTGATCCTCATTACAAAACGTTTGATGGTAAAAAGTACGATTTTCAAGGTTCCTGTCGATACATTTTATCTGAAGATTACTGCGGAAAAAAATGGGGGAAATATCGCATTGAAATTCAAAATGTTCCTTGTGGAACAAGTGGTGTTACATGTACAAAAGCTCCAATAGTTACAATCAATAATACCGTCATTACTTTTTACAAACACAAAAAGCCCAGAATTAACACCTTACCTGGTGCTATAAATTCTCATCTCAATGGTGGATACAAGATATATCACAGTTGGTTCTTCACCGTTTTGACAACCGATTTTGGCCTTGTTGTGGAATGGGATTACGGAACTAGAGTTTATGTGAATTTGTTACCGACCTATCAAGGTAAAATGTGTAATCCTCTTTAAACGAAATGTCTAAAGTTAATGAAACAAATTTTAACCCATTATAAAACTGGTAAAGTTCATGGAACAATACTGGAATAACGTCTAAATTTGATTTTCTGTAATTTTTCAGGAAATCCTTGTGGATTGTGTGGTAATATAAACAACAATCAAAAAGACGATTTTCTTACTCCGCAAAATCTCCCCGAGCAGTTGGCAAACGATTTTGGCGACTCGTGGAAAGTGGAAAAGTCCTGTCCAGCTACACGTGTGTCCAAACATCCCTGTAAAATACACAAACAAAGAGCTGGTTGGTCGCGGAAGATGTGCGAAATTCTCAAAAAGAAGATTTTCAAACCATGTCATCATAAAGTAGGTGATTTATAAATACTTAAATGTATTTTTGGAATTTTTAAATCTTAAACAACAATCGTTGGTTCAGTCCTTATCACACACTCTTTCTAAAAAATCTTGTATATTTTAGGTCGATGTAGATCCATTCTACAGGGACTGTTATTTCGATTCTTGCGGCTGTGACATTGGTGGTGATTGTGAATGTTTATGTACAGCAATTGCAGCGTACGCTAGGGAATGTAATAGACACGGTATTCATATTAAATGGAGATCACAAAAACTTTGTCGTAAGTATGAATGATAATCATTGGTCGAATTTTTTCATAGCAATGCATAGTATGAATCGCTTCTTTCACACAAAAATCACCCCACACTTTTAGAGTGACAGCGCATTAGGCTTCTGTGATAAGTATAAAATGTGTTCAACCATATTACCAATGTCATATATCATCTGTGTTGTTTCTATCCCAAAGTGTCCCTTTAAAGCTCATTATGTATTTGCTTGTTATCCACATATAAAATACCATTCTTGTATTCATTTTAAGTTTATTTGTCTACTACTACTTTGGGATGGTTGTAAACAGCAACTTTTCCTCTTTTGCTTATAGCTATTCAATGTGAGAACGGTTTGGAATACAAAGCATGCGGGTCCCCATGCCCAAAAACCTGTAAATCGTTATGTGGCCCGCGAATTTTTTGCCCAATACCATGCACGGAAGGATGTCAATGTCCAAATGGTACGGTGCTTCATAAAAAGACTTGCATCAAACCAGAGTTATGTCCGTGTATTGTGAATGGAAATGAACATGAAAATGGCTCCTACGTTATCGTTAATTGTCAACATTGGTATGTTAAAACAATGCAAACAAAGTTTATAACATAACATTCATTTTAAACCAAGACCTACTGATACATCACATTATGGAATGTGACATAGGAAAGAGAATTACACATATTTCCAACATGGGTAATGTTTAAGTGTCTTTTTAATGTCTAAATTATTTTTAGTGTGTGCAGTGAAGGTTGTCTTTCATGCAACGGACCAAAATGTATCTCAACTTCAGGTAAATTTAATCAAATTATCTAGAAGATGAAATCTTAGGTGAAAGTATCTGAACTCATCATTTTGCCATGGTAAAAGAATGTGCTAATAAACAACTTCTTTTTCTCTTAACAGAAATCACTCCTACCACAATGTTTATTGTGAATGGAACAACTTTCAGTCCGCCGTCGACTGCCACTACTATTTATCTTGGTACGACTTCGACAGAAAATATCACTAGAGTTCCTGGCGGTGGTAATACATCTACGACTGAAAGTCCTTCAACCACGCCATTAACTACCGCTCTCACTTGTCCACCTGGATTGGTAATTCAAGCATCTTGCTTTGCATGAACATTCATATTTAGATATACCAGTTTTACTAAGCAATTTTAAATTTTGAGAATTTTGATATTTTCACCAAGTCTATTTTTCAACGTTTTAGATCTATTCAAATTGTGTTTCCTCATCATGTCCTCCTTTCTGTCAATACTTAAACGTGACGTGTACGTTGCCAAGCGATTGTGCAGCAGGTTGCACGTGCGCAAGTGGTTTGGTGTTTAATGGCACACATTGTGTTGAACCATCGGATTGTCCATGTTTATACAAGAGTAACTATTACAGAGCAGGAGAGACGTGGAGAGATGGCTGTAATAGATGCATTTGCTGGAATAATACCGTAATATGTAATCCTATTCAATGTCCCACAATCACTTACTGTCCTACTCACAACTACACGATTATAAGAAAAGATTGTTGTGACGTGTGTGTTCCAGCATGTAACGATTCCCAATTCTATTGTCATATCGGTAAGACATGTATACCACGTGTATGGTCATGTGACGGAATGCGGGATTGTTCTAACAATGAAGATGAAAGTAACTGTACAAAGATATCATCATGCAACGACACTTTAGGTAATACATTGCTACTGAAGTCATTTAGTTGCAAGGCGCGGATAACTGTAATTTTTGCTGTGAATTTCAATCGAGTGACAGACGTTTATTTTGATTGCAGGAGAGGTCCGTGGTTATCCGGATTCGAGTTGGACGATGATTTCAAGCGGTGAGACGTTCTATTGCTTAAGAAATTTCAGCAGGGCCATTCAGCTTCTTGCAAATCTGGCTCATAATTCTACGGTGACAATAATTGGCTCAGAAGTGAAAGGCGCCGTCAATCATCAAAATTTCCAACTCGAGTACAGTACAAATGGATTCAGTTGGAAGACGTACAACAATGGATGGAACCAAACGGTATGCCTGTTATCAATACAACTGTAATAATGACTTTTATATTAATGTATTATTACTAATATGTACCATTAGCATGATATTATATCGTGTTATGCCGCTATTTTAATTTCTAGGAAAAGCACAGCAATCTTTCATTGTTCAAGTTATGGGTTCCTTTTACTGCTCAATACATTAAAATAACTCCTGATAATTTGACTTTATCGGTTTGCTTGCGATATGAGATATTCGGCTGTGCGAACGTCACTGCCACCTCGACCCCCTCTCCAACCATTATTAATTGTCCCAATGGTACGAATGTGACTTGTTCCTGTCCTCAAACTTGTGAAAGTATCGCCAATGGCACTGACAATTGTAATTCATCTGTATGCAACCCAGTATGTGAATGTCCATCGGGATTTTTCCTACACAATAATGGCGAATGTGTAGACATAAGTACATGTCCCTGTTATTATAATGGAACTGTTTACAAAGTAAGTAAACATTTCACTAAAGCAGTTACCTAGAAGTTTTTTTCTTTTGAAAAGCCACTGTGTTTAATGTGGATATTTAATATCGTAACACAATGTTCAAAATAGCAACATCGAAGTTGAATTTTTCTACGAAGTTACAAAATTCCGCTCTCTTGTTTTCTTGTTTTCTAATTAATTTCGTTTTAAACGTAAACATTTATATACTTATCATACATAACCTTATTTTTTATTAGTTTGGTGATGTATTTGTAAGAGAGGAATGTATAAAATGTGTATGTTTATCAAGTAACTTCTCCTGTGAGCGTACATGCAACAAAACATGTCGTCCAGTAAGTTCTCTTTATGAAGTCAATGTTTGCACAATCTCGTTTTACAGTCTTAATATATAGTTTTATCCTTTCAGAACGAAGAACTTGTCAGGGAACCTGGTCAATGCTGTTACTGCGAACAAAGTTAGTAATAGTGTTGCTTCATTATCGATAATATACTAAATGTTAGTACTCATTAACATAGATCAAATTTAACTCCCTTTCCTATACATATGTAGAATGTCGGAACGACATGGTCTACAAACTCTGCAGCAAACCAGTCTCTTGCAGAAACAAAACATTTAATGCAACATGCACAACTGGCTGCCAATGTCCTAATGGAACATTCGACAATGGAACGGATTGTGTTGAGAGAAAAGATTGCTACTGTCTTGTTGATGGAAAAGAGATTAAAGTATGTTGTAGTCCGATGTTTTCAGTCGTGCGATGGTTAAATGATTAAAAGAAAAGTCAACTGCAGTGTTTCTTTTTCTTTCTACAGAGTGGCGAACGTTGGACGGAAGAAAATTGTGTAAACTGTACTTGTATTGATGGAGAAGAAGTTTGTAACAGAACATGTAACATTACAGTCTGTCCTATGGTACGATGTATGAAATATTTCCCCCAGATCCCTGCTAAGTTTATATGCGATAGAAAATATAAAATACTTTGTGAAAGTACTTTATGAAAACAATGTGATGTATTATGTATAAATTTCTTTTTTAGGGTTACCAACTGGTTCAACCACTTGATTCTTGCTGTACTTGCATGTTAATATGTGAGTAATTGCCAAATACTGATCTTAGATGATGAACAGACGATGATATGAGTTAATGTAATGAATTTTTAGCAACAACTAAACCAATTACAACGCCTGTGCCGGGATGTTATGATAACGGAACATTTAGAATGGTAATATAGACGATGCTTCATAATATCAACAATTTAAACATTGACGATGCATAAAACTGCAATGCCTAACTTAACATTAGATTGGCAAAAGTTGGTCAAACGGAATCTGCGAAAATTGTACTTGCGAAAAAAACCTACAAATAAAATGCGTTTCAACAATTTGTTCTTCTGTTTGTCCACAGGTAAAAACGTCCCAGAAGAACTTATCGTGTTGCTATGAATTATACCTTTAAATAGTTTTTCTCCTGTGTTATTTACAAATGCTGACTGACGGCCTTTGTTACAGGGCTGTAAAACAACCAAATCACCAAGAAAATGTTGTAACGAGTGCGGTAAGTCAATCTTGTAATGAATTATGTTCGTCATTGTGTCTGACAAGGTTTTCTCTTCCTAGTTTCGACTTCATACAATGAAACCTGTGAATATAATGGCAACAGTTACAAAGTACGTCTCCGTCAAATTGCTAAGCCTATGTTCTTAAACTAACAATCGACAAACTTTCAAAATTTACTTTTAGGTTGGTCAAACGTGGAAACCAAACGTTTGCAAAAACTGCTCGTGTATTAAAAGGGGAGAAGTCGTTTGCCATATTGAGCAGTGCCAAAAGATGTGCGCTAGGGTAAATATATACGTTTTTATTTTATAGTTGGCAATATTTTGAAATAACGAATAACATATATTTTCTCTTCACAGGGATTTCATGTCAATGTTCGTCCAAGTCCAGGAAAATGTTGTCCTAATTGCGGTAATAGTTTATTTACATTTTGGAACTTTGGCAGTTTTATTCACTATGAAAATCTTGCTCGTTATAAACTTAGCGACTTTTTTCTTTAGTTCCTCTAACCTGCAAGGCCAAAATTCGATTTGGAGGAAAGCTATTCAAAGATGTCCTCGGCTGCGTCAGTAAAACAAAAAGGATTCAATCGTACTGCAAAGGATCCTGTCAGTCAAACTCAACTTTCTCGTACGCTGGTGGAAAATTCCATCTCATGCCAGCATGCAGATGTTGTCAACCAACTAGATTGTTCAGCAAATCTACAGTCATGGTTTGTCCCAAAGGATACACTTATGTTTACTACTATCCTGTGGTTAAAAGTTGTTCCTGTAGACAATGTGATGCGGCGAAGCAAGATGAAAACATCGTCAAACTTCTTATGAATATTAAACTCAAAAATTACAAAAGCATGACTAGTATGAAAGGCTTACTTCATTATTACCACAAGTAGATTATTTTCTATTTAGATTTTAGGATGTGACTCGTACTTAAAGCGTGTGTTACGAGAAGATGTAAATGTCAACATTGTATGTTTTATTTTGGTCAAACCAAGAATTTAGCATAGTTTAAATAAAGCAAGCAATATTATACGATAAGTCTGGATTGGTGTAAACTACACAATGCTGTTCATTAAAATATTCGAAACAAAATCTTTTGACTATATTATTATCGCAAGATACTTTAGACTTTTATTGCGTGCATGATTAGTGAAAAGCCTTAAACATAATTATTTATTATATATAATAATTCAACTATATTAATTATTTATATATTTTATATATGACGACTTGGCCGAAAACTGAGTCAACTGACACAAAAAGCCGATGGGAAATACGGATTTCAGTTGTAAACTCAACTATTGAAGTCTACAACCAAATCAATTACCACCTTCCTGACTATTTCTTCCTCTTGAAATTCATTGTCTCTTCAAGAACAATTGCTATTCACTTCAAATCATGTCTAAATGTCTTACCGTTGTTTACTTTGCTCAATAATCATCCCAATCTCTTAGTTTCCTCGATCCTTAACCAGTTCTAACCTCTAATGTTCAATTATCTTTAGTATTTCTTCTGTAGTACATATCAGTCACTAACCATGCATCATCATTAGCATGCCAATTGTGATGTTCATCTTTTCTTTATATTTCATTGCTTTCGTTTCGTCATTCGGCACTAATTGAGCACCTTTTCCTCACATTTCTTCTGCAGATTCCTTCCACGCGAGTTTTCAACCACAACTAGATAACTTAACCTTTATTTCCCTTTATTATGTTTCTCTTGCTGGTAATTTTCCCCATAAATGCCATGTGATCTGCCCCAGGATCCTCCGCGAGAGGATGTGAACTACGACCTTGATTTTAAGGTTCTTTGGTATGTGTACATAACCATTCAAATTTCCCAGCTTATTGTAATTCTCGTCGTCGCATTTTATCACACGCTTCAAGAACACATTGCAGTTTTCAAACTGTGAATAGTCCCTACTATTAAGAATAAATATTTCATCTCAGATATATGTATTCCACTTACCTATTTCTTATACAAGTTAATTATTGGGTAAAATTCAGCGTCTTACAGAGACTATGTTCTTATGCTATTCTAACCATCCTTCTCACTTTTGACTTCCCAGCTCGCCCCTCTCGCACCACCACCATCAAACCAAACTGCTAAAGGTTACCCTCTAATACTTCACATGTGCATTTCAAATGTTCTTTCATGAAACTTATGCACATGTACACCGTTTTTATGAAATATTAGAAGTATTTGTCTTTACTCCTATCTTCCGGAAACTTTAACTTCCCACATTTTTTAGTAACTGGACATATTCCTCAACACCCCGCTCAAAATGTTGTCGCAAAATGTGAACGGTAAAATATGCCTCCACCCGACGCCTCCCCCCTCCCTCAATACAACACTACAAATACCACCATTTCGAATTAGTGTGAGCCCTCGTAATAATCAAGTCAGCGGACTCATATAAACAATGTTAATACTTCGTATAACTTGTAATAATCAAACAAACTAATCTTGAAAAGTTGTAGATGAAATGGTGTGGTAGGCAAATTCTCTAAAAATTTTGAACTATGCCTAAAGTTAAGCGAAGTCGGAAACCTCCACCCGAAGGCTGGGAGCTTATTGAACCAACCCTAGACGAGTTGGATCAAAAAATGCGCGAAGGTACTCCGAACTCGTTCGTTTTGTTAACGACTTTGATTGTTGTCCTTTGAAATTTCTTTATATCCGTTGAACGTTGAATCTATGTGAAATATATCAGGATGAAATAACATAACATATACCCTTTGTCATATTGTTTAGCTGAGCAAGACCCTCATGAAGGAAAGAGAAAAGTTGAGGCACTTTGGCCAATCTTTAGGTATGATTTATCGATTTTCACTTATTTGTGTTCTGCCTTGTGAAGTCCTTGGGACTAATTCAATAAATACTGTTGAAAAATAACATCCTTCTATACAGAATTCATCATCAAAGGTCAAGATACATTTATGATTTGTTCTACAAACGAAAAGCTATAAGTCGAGGTGAGAAAATTTTATATGAAAATTTTCATTTTTCCTCATTGGACTCATCCTGTTGTCAGTTCAATTATTCTTCGCCCATTGTACATAGAGTATATAAAAATCAAACAATATTTAGAGTACAAAGTTTTTCAAACATTGTCACATGGCTGCTTAACGAAGGATGGTTGCCTACTTTTTACACAGGTTCAACTGTAATGAACAAATTAGTCATATTAATCCCTAATACAAAACACTAAATCTAATCTTAATCCTATCTCTAACCAATAGCATAACTAACTGGCAAGCTTATTTATATTATGTAAATATTTCGATGTTCAATGACTCTAACATCAATCAATTTCTAATGAAATAAGGAATTCTTAATATAAATATCAAAGCCCAGCAAAGTGCTTTTAAAAGAGCCATTTCATACAAAAAACTTGCTGGGCTTTGATATTTATATTAAGAATTCGCTTCCCGCCCGGTATATCCCTGGTCACAATTTTGAAGAAATATGGAATGTTAATTGATATCTAAAATTTACATGGCAGACGAAACTTGCAGACTTGCTATGTCACTAGCTTGTACACTCACCTCAACATCTCACCTTACCCTGGAACCCATTTCTTAGCTTTTGTTATTCCTTTACTCTTTCACTCTAAGACTGTTCTCAGTGCAAAGAAGTTTGTTTTCACTTTGTTGTTTATTAGCAATTGTGTCAAATGCTCTCAGTTTGAATAGTTGCTACATAATATCTACTGGTCTCTGCTAATCTATGCATTCAAGTATATATTGAACAGACAGAAGCAGTGTGCGAATTAGTTCAGAAAAAACGATGTGCAATTTCTTAGACAAAAGTGTTTCTTTAGAGGCATAATCAAATCAATATTACATTAATTATTATAGAGCGATAATTGCTATACTAATATTTTTAAACTTGAACAAATTCATGATTTACGACAGTGTTTTTTGTTAAAACCGCTTATTTTTGCACATCGTTTGAAAAAGTAATGTGCAAATTGCACATTGCATGCTGATCAGACAGAAGTGTGCATGTTTACATATTTTTTACTCCATTCCATTTTTGTTCATCACAGAGCTGTATGAGTATTGCCTCAAAGAAAATATAGCAGACAAAAACTTGATTGCAAAATGGAAAAAACCAGGCTATGAAAGTCTTTGCTGTTTACGTTGCATCCAAACCAGGGACACAAACTTTTGCACCAACTGCATCTGTAGAGTACCAAAGTCTAAACTTGAAGAGGTATGTGGTTTTTTCTGTGTTTCAAGCATATTTAAATAATCAGAAAGTATATACACAGTTCATGGCAAACAGGTTTCCTCCCCAGCTGGTCTTGCCTAGCAGATGAGCCGATAAGCATGTCAAAGAGCCAATTAAGCATTTTAACGAAAAAACACCGTACATAATATACAATGAGGGTAAAATTCCTGCCTAAGGCATGTACTTTTTCTATAAATTATAACATTCAGCTTTGCATGTGAGAAAAATTTGAATTTAATGTTGTAATACAATCGATATTCATTGACAGAATGACATTGTTTATTCTGTGCCAGAGGCACTTGCAAAGTTCGGGGTCCCCCCCCCAACATTTTCCATTCTAAGTCATATAAAACAATGTGTAATATGTGTAAAGTCATTTTGGGGTGTTTTTCTCCAAAAAATAAAATCTTGATTGTGCCACTGTTTCATGCAAATAAGTTTTTTTTGTATTTTTGTGGCGTCCACAAGAGAAATTCTGAGCAAACTATTCATATTCTTTTTATAGGGTAAAGTTGTCGAGTGTGTCATCTGTGGTTGTAGGGGATGTTCAGGATAACTTGTGGTCATATAGAGTTCATATTCTTTTTACAGGGTAAAGTTGTCGAGTGTGTCATCTGTGGTTGTAGGGGATGTTCAGGATAACTTGTGGTCATATGGAGTTCAAATGATTTTATTTTTAGGCTATGTAAGTCGAGCTAAAACAATTGAGTAATTTAGGGTGATATATTATCTGGCGTTGACAATCGTGGTTTTTTATGGATTTATAAACATCCATTTAAGCATTCCAGTTACTTCACTTGATAACCTTAATAGGACTCTACTTATTAACATTGCCACCATATTTTGTTACATTGTACATCAAACTCTACTATCCTTCAACTGTAAATAAAAGTTCTACAGCATGTCAATGTTATGGCTGTGGGATTTTTCATACGATTTTCACATTCAATAGACTGAATATTTTCACATATCCTCAGTTTTTCAATTCAGCTTTGTTTTTTGGATTTTTCATTTTCTTCCAACATTCCCATTTCACTGACAAACCTAAAAAAATGATATTCGCAAAACTTGTAAGTCACCTCCAAGCCACGAAGCATGTTTAATTTAATGATATATTCTCGCATTTGGTTAATTGCAACATTTTTTCGTGAATGGATATTCCATTTGTCGTCTAATTCGTTCTAATTCAAAACATAGTTCCAGAAATTTACAAATTTATCGTTCCATACCAATTAATTGATAGAAGTAAAGATCCAGCGAGAACTGTGAATATGACAATGTGAATTGAAAAAGTCATAAAACTCAGAGCAACTCCGGTCATCAATAAGAACACAAAGATAACATTTACTGTAAAAAGAAGCTTTGACGAAACTCCTGGTTCATAAATTGACGAAGTTACCGCGTTCAACATGGTTAATCATAGCAACTTTTTGCGTACCGGCAGTGGGTACAATCTCGTACATTACAACCATCGTACCGGTAACATGAACTGGTATTGATGTAAGAGAGTACTGAAATGTTTTTGGACTAGAAAATTTGATTTTCGCTTACAATTAGCGGCGTCTTGAAAAGTCATACTTTTCGTTTCATTTTCATACGTTCAAAAGTTGAAAACTATTGACTACAAAAAGTCTCGCTCTTGTATACTACAGATTTCTTGTGTCGGATTCATTATCCGATAGGTTAAAATTTGGGGTACTATATGTCGTATATATTTAGTCAAAACAGCGCTTCCTACACAATTTGGATTATGAGTTGGGACATGCCAACTGCACATTGTTTTCCGGTAAGACAGTTTCGAAAGGTGGTCAAAGTAAAACAAGTGTCTGACTGTCATATTGTGGAATTATGGAGGAGAGTATGGAAAAGAGCGAAGTGATTCATAATATTACACAAGATGTATATCAGGTGTGAATTATATTTCATGTTTATATTCAAGCAACGATTCAATTCTATATTGAGTTCTGGATTCTCAATTAAGCATTATGTTGTTCGTCGTTTTAGAGAGTTGTTGATTTGGGGCCTCAACTTCGCGAGTTCACGTCCTTCGCTAAGCAGTATCACAAAGCTTTGCTAGGTTGGTTTCCTGATTTGCGTTTAGTGCTTCTTCTGTATCTTGTGTAGTTATTAGCTTGTTTTTCTCTCATTGTGAAGGTGCGTCTGTTGCGGCTAATATTTTCTACCAAGGATTTGCTAAAATCGCGCATTTGGCATCGGAAACGAAGGGATCCAACAAAATGTTGGGTACGTTGTAAAATTTCTTGTATTGTTCCCACATACTAAGCGTTTGTTGACATTGGCATTGACATTGGGATTGATAATCTTTCGATTTAAATGGTAATATTTTTTAAAGATTTTAGCACGGTTTAAAGAAAGTGTTTGTTTACTTCGCAATACTTTGACAAATGGTCGTCATTACCGGTTGAAGATGTCTGAAATGTGACAAAACTTATACCGAGCTTTGGATGTCCCGTTGCTAAGTACATTGAGTTTTGATTCAATGTATTTATAATTACAAGCGCGGCGAATAAATTGCGTTTTCGAATAATTTACCAGCTAAATGCCGTGCAGGGATTTGTTATGTTCAAAAGAACGTACATTTATGGCTTCTAAATTTTTGCAAATTGATGCTTTTTTTATGAACAATCGGTGACCTTGATGAAAACACTTTTATTCCCTATGCGACAAATTATATTTGCATTTTAGTGACAGATCTAATTGTTTTTATGTTAATAGTAATACGCTTAAATTTTTTTGTCATTATCGACTTGCGAGACAGGTTCGTTCCGATTAAAGCCATAAAGCTCTTAAATATGCAACATACATTTCGATCATTTTTCATTAATTGACCCAAGATGTTTAACGTTTTCCAAACTGAACATTAAAAGTATCATTTGTCATCTCTGTTATTTTTCAATCTGATAAAGTAAATTTTCCGGTTTCGTTACTTATCTATGACATTTCACTCTTTCCTGCTGTCACTTTTACCCCATTTGTTTTAATGCATTTTGTCACAACTTTTCAGCCAAAGTCAAGAACGTTGTTGATCTCTGACGTCATTATTTTAGGCAAAGCCATCTGTGATATTATCGCGGTGCACAAGCAAATCGAAAGCCAAACCAACAATGTTGTAAGTAAGGATATTTAAAAACACCCATTTGTCTCTTGTCTCTCCTTAAAATATTCTGTATTTCTTTTAGTTGAAAGCTTTCGCTCAAGACTTCATTGTGCCTTTGGAAAATTGGATCGAGAACAGCATCGTTCAAACTAAAGTACGAAATTTTTGCGTGACTATATTTTGTCATTATTGACCTGGCCTCATCTCCTTTTTTTTTAGGCCAGACAGAAAACTTATATTCAAGAAAGCAAAAATTCTTTAGAGGTACTTTGTCAAAGTTGCCGAAAATTGAAAACTTTATTGTTTTTTCTGACTCCATTTTTTTTTAATTGGGACTTGTGGCACAGTCACATTCGCTAAACTTCGCACTAAAATCTTCGAACTTCGTCGGCGAACTTCGACAATTCGTTTCCAAATGAAAAAAGTCTTAATGTATGACAAAGATTTGTAAACCGACGACTAATTGGCTATTTTATTTCTTTTTGTAAATAGTCAACCAGAGTAACTTTGTTACGAAACCTGTTACTAACTTACAACGCCACAGTTTGCAAATGAATTTGCGAACTTTGCAACGGCGTTCTGAATGTTAACTACACTGTAAAACAGCGCACAAAATGTACAGTTCAATGATAATCGATTTTGTATGTTTTTCAGCTGGTCGAGAAGTCCAAATCTGAGCTGACAAAAGTGCGGAAAAAAAGTCAGCGAAGCAAAACAAGCGAAAAATACGACGGGAAAGAAAAACAGGTGAAATTATTACCGCAATTAACGTGAAATTTCTATATGATCTCGGAAGCACGAGATTTATTAAGCATTTGAAATAAACGACAAAATTTTTTTTCATAAACATGTTTCGACTTGCATTAAGCCATCTTCAGTATGAGAATGAAGTAAAGTTGTTTATTTCTAAAGTTATTTATTTCTTAAAGTTATCTATCTCTCATACTGGAGATGACTTAATGTAAGTCGAAACATGAAATTAATATGAAATTCATCAAACACAGAACTGCCCCCAAATGCATCTAAATCATGTCTGTCGAAATTTCTCCACAGCGTATAAAATCTTCTAGATATTGGCAGCCTTCGAACAACACCAGGGAAAATTAGATCATTTGAGAGTATCTGGCTGTCACGAGGTATGAAAATGAGCCAGTAGTTTGTAAAAAATTGAAAAAACCAACTGTTTCAAAGGCTCTATTCTTTTGCGTAAATTTTTAGGCGATGAATGCACAGAGAAACGTCTTCTCTTTCATAATTGAGAAAATGTTGTGTGTATCAAAAATGGATTTGGCTCACCACGAAAAGGTTTGTGGTCTTTATTCACGACACTTTGCACGAGAAAAAGCAACTTTGTTTATTTCAACGCAAGTCCCATTTTTTGACAATTCTATTTTGATTTAGTTATGTATTTTGTCTCTCTATTTCAAGGCCTCCAGTCTTTTGATTGCCCGTTTGCCAGTCTGGGATCATTTGACAAAACAACCACTATCGCTCGATGTTAACGTTATTTCTCTAGTAAAGGTATTTGCACACACACACGCATGTGCATTTTGATTTCTATCGAGACACTGAACTGAAATATGACTAAAGTTTGAAGCCGGCAATTTAGCATTGAGTTTTTTGAAATTTATACGTTTAACAATCCTTGTGAGAATTTTCACAAACCGTTATGTAAAAATAGCGAGTTCGCTGTTGACTACAAAATTACATCACGCTCTTTTGTCGGGCGAAATAAGTTCTCACCTTTCCCCAATCTTGAGACCCAAGCATTGAGTTATACACAATATACATGACTTCAAAATCGTCTGTAGCATTGGGAAAGGAGTTAACATTCCAGTTTATACTGCAGATCATTTTCAAATGTTGACTCTACAGCTCTATAGCTCTTAGTGTTGGAGTTAACATTCCAGTTTACACTGCAGATCATTTTAAATGCTGACTCTACAGCTCTATAGCTTTGGTGTTGGAGTTAACATTCCAGTTTTTACTGCAGATCATTTTAAATGCTGACTCTACAGCTCTATAGCTTTAGTATTGGGAGATAACAGTCCAGTTTATATTACGGTTCAGACCAAAGTTTTGCTCCGGTTCTGATGCAAGACAGGCCGAGCGGAAAACGTCCTTGATTCAGCCAGCAAAACAAATTTACCTCTCATTCACAAATAAAACTTCATTGTTCATAATAGCAACTGACGGAGTGCAAAAAATTTGATAAAAGTTTGGACGAGTACCTTTCCTCATCTGGTTATTCAGTTGATATGCATAAAGCACCAAGTCCACCTCCGATTGATCCCGATCGAATCCGAAACAAGAGGTTTTCGCAGCAGTTGAGTGTTACTCCAATCACGAATGGGCATTTGAAGGACAAGGAAAGAGAGAACAGGTTTCAACTCTTTTACATATTGAGAGACAGTAAAACTTTTTCTAACGATCAGAACTCAACATTTTATCTACAGGGGAAAAGTGCGGGCCATTTATCGTCACCACGCGGCGGATTCAACCCAACTATCATTTGACAATGTAGGTTAAAACCATAAGCTACCTTGTATAGTTCTTGTTTTATATTGTTTATCTGAGAGGGAAATGATTTTGTCTCCATCTGAAGGTGTTTGCGAGTGATATTTTCTGTAGAGGGCTCTGGTTAGGGGGTAGAGTTAGTCGAATGGAAAGACAGAAGTGATCAAGTGACGTTGTGATAACACTTACAGCATAGAAGGTTAGCGGGGGTGAGTCAAGTGGAAATACTGAAGTGATCAAGTGACGTTGTGATAACACTTACAGCATAGAGAAGGTTAGGGGGGGGGGGTGATTCAAATGGGAAGACTGAAGTGATCAAGTGATGTTGTGATAACACTTACGAACCAAATGGACTGTCTCAGTTGCTTTGATTGTGAAAAGCTCTCAATGTTATTAGCCGATTTTTATTACCATCTGTCTCCACTAACTATATTTGAGCGTCTAATAATCTGAGCGCATATTTTTCCTGGTAGCTTTAGACATAGCGACGCTCAATCTTAATCTTCCCAAAACTTTGATAAAATATTATTCTCGTTTCTCTCACTACAAGTCTATGTTTCCCACGATCAACTGTCCATCATGATGACTTAACGGATTAAATATATTTAATCATTTAAATATATTTGTAAAAGCTTTAGCTGAGCATAATGAAAATCAAACAAGAATGTATCTCCTCGTGTAATTGCGTATGTCCAGCAGTATTCGTTCCCAGTCCGTTAAAATCTATGCATCTTTTAATTTATTGAAGGGAGATGTGATTAAAGCATTAACTACAGTTACATCAGGATGGCAATACGGCGAAAATACGAGGACGATGAAGTCAGTATTTACTTTGAAATTGCCGCCATTCCTTGTCTTCAATCACCTAGAACCCAGTCTACTAGATACCTGACTCCGCCGAAATTCTATAGTTACGAGTTAGGGAAGCCGCCATCTTGAACAAAGGCATGACAGACAATATGTACGAGTAAAATTTGCTTCTTGTATAGTTGCAGAGATGATACTCGCGTTTCTCTAGGTTTTGTTTTGAAAATGCTTGATACGTGGGAATGATTAGTTATGACTGAGAATTTCCCTTTTTGGCACTATTCAAAATGGCGTCCTTACCTCACCTTGACTCGGCACCATTGAAATAAAGTACAATTTAGTTCAATGCTCGGCACAGTTAGACATCTAGGGGATTGGGTTCTAAATCATTGATTGCTTCATTCACAATTCCCTCTTAACCTACTTTTCTTTATTTGGTTTTATTTTCTTCTGAAGGTCTGGATGGTTTCCCATCGCGTTTACAGAAAAATTCACCGGAAGTGTTGCCTTCAGGTTCGAATTAAATAACGGACGGAATAATTGTTGAAATTCATCCACCACATTTCTACGAATGCATTCGGGGGAGGGGGAATTACCAAAGAGGATAAGGAAGGCTCACACTTTCCCGGTTGACTTTCAATTCTTAGTGTAGTTAGTAAAATTTGTAGAAAATGTAAGTTCAAAAAAAATCATTAATAATTTCAAACTATCGTCGATCGAATGACGATTTTTAACTGCCGTTGATTGACGATTCGTACGTAACTACCGTTGATTGATGATTCGTACGTAACTACCGTTGATTGACGATTCGTACGTAACTACCGTTGATTGACGATTCGTACGTAACTGTCGTTGATTGATGATTCGTACGTAACTACCGTTGATTGACGATTCGTACGTAACTACCGTTGATTGACGATTCGTACGTAACTACCGTTGATTGACGATTCGTACGTAACTACCGTTGATTGACGATTCGTACGTAACTACCGTTGATTGACGATTCGTACGTAACTGCCGTTGATTGACGATTCGTACGTAACTACCGTTGATTGACGATTCGTACGTAACTACCGTTGATTGACGATTCGTACGTAACTACCGTTGATTGACGATTCGTACGTAACTACCGTTGATTGACGATTCGTACGTAACTACCGTTGATTGACGATTCGTACGTAACTACCGTTGATTGACGATTCGTACGTAACTACCGTTGATTGACGATTCGTACGTAACTACCGTTGATTGACGATTCGTACGTAACTGCCGTTGATTGACGATTCGTACGTAACTGCCGTTGATTGACGATTCGTACGTAACTGCCGTTGATTGACGATTCGTACGTAACTGCCGTTGATTGACGATTCGTACGTAACTGCCGTTGATTGACGATTCGTACGTAACTACCGTTGATTGACGATTCGTACGTAACTGCCGTTGATCATTAATTTTATTGTTGGTCAAAATCCTTTATCGCAATTAGATTTGGTCTCTGCATCTAAAAATCGGGCAAACGTTGTTTACTATCACTATAAGAAATTGGTCGCTTTTTGCCACATCCTTTTAATTACCCATAATGCAACACTGATATTCATTTCTTTTGTAGTGTCAGTCCCACGCATTCATTACCTGCCCTAGTTCCAGTTCATTCGCGTCCTTCAGTGTTGCCCGAATCCCATGACTACCCTTCCAATTCCGATAGCCCGGATGGACTGGTAATTCCCGAGAGAGATTATGGAATACCACAAGCGGAACTCAACGGAAGAGGTAACAATAATCGTATTTCATTGTAAGATTTAAAAAAAATTTTTATGACATGTTTTGTTCGTTTTGCAGTTATCATTTATATTTGCACTACATTACTATAGCATCATATACGTACCTTAATTTAGGCAGAATAATTTGGAATGAAACCAATGGTTACTGTTACTGTCCCCTCCTCCCTGCCCTCCTAGTGTTTGTCGCTAATTCAATTGACGTATTCCAGTTGTGTACACCATAACAAGCGGTTATTTTTACAATTTGTCTTTTTAAGCCAAGCATCTCATCTCCATTTCAGTTAACAACAATTATGTTGTATTAAAACGCAACGATTCTCAATCATCTGGCATTCAGTCGTTAAACAACTCTGCATCATCATTGGAGAGTTCGACACATGAGAAAGACGCCATATTTATGCCGCCGCCACCACCTCCTCCCCCACCCCCACCAATACTAGAAGAAGATACACCCAATGGATTTCCACCACCTCCCCCTCCGCCAATGCCTCCTGTATCTGGATCTTTTGATCAGTGAGTAGTTATGTCATAAATTGAGGCTTACCACGATCGCGTTTATTGATCCAATCTAGAATTGAATCCTTTTAGGGACTAAATCAATATTTTGACAATGGCTAAAGTAATACTTGACCGATTTTCGGTAAAAATTGCGAGCTGTTGCTATGGTTGTATGATATTTTGTTGTTTGCTGAGACTCGTGCCTAGCTAGAGCACAAATTTCATGAATACTATGTACATTTCAGTAAATCATTTGGCATTTTTTCTTCAGGCTACACCTGTGCTCATGTATTGTCAAAAATTTTGCTTGAATAAGACTCAGAGACCGAACGCGGAAGATTGATAATTTATTTTTTTTAGGGGGGTTCATATTCTTATTTTCTTATGATATAATCCTTAATCATCATTGATTCCAATAAAAAACTCGAAAGTAGAACATGCAGGTATGATTTTTAGCCCCCCCTTCCTTCAATTGTCGATATTCCACGGTCCTTCAGACTTAAGCTCAGCTACCGAGGTGCAAGTGGTGACGTAGGAAATGTCCCATGATCCTTTTCGAACTACAAACGTAAAAGTTTCGCGCGAATCTTTTCATTTCTTCATGGGCTTTATTCCTTTCCTTACAATTACAACATTTACATTCAGAGCTCTGTAATGAGATAGCGAGAAGATGGAAAGATGCGGGGAGTTTGGCTTATGTACGGACTAAAAAGAAGAAACGAGAATTGCTATTCCTTCAAATATACAAAATCGACGATAAAATATGGCTAATATATAAAAATGAAAAGATAACGCTTATACGTAACATATCTATTAGGTTTCGCCGTTCTTTATCGATCACGGTGGAGTTTAAATTCATCATTTCATCACTTAAATTTACGGGATTTTATGAAGATGCAGACAATACAGAGATATATATAAAGTAATTTATGTGTTTGTTTAAAATGTATTAATTTTATAACGTAGAGAGGTATTGGTATTTTGCGTTTTAAATAATTATTAATGGAGAACTGTTAAATCAATTGCGACCGTTGAGAATATGCTATTAAATGTAATTTTGTATATGGTTTGGTCTGTTGTTCTTCCTTAATTTTACCCAAATATTAAGAAAATTTACAAAATATTAGTTAGAGTATTTATGATGTAAATGGTTTGAACCCGGGAGTATCGTTACATGTTTGTAAATGTAGATCGTCCAGGTTGGTATAGTCCTGAGAAGGACTGTTTTTGTTGTTGTTGACTGATTGTTTTGTTGCTGTTGTTGATTTGTTGTTTTTGTTGTTGTTGTCGAAACGTCAGTCAACAACAACAAAAACAGGCCTTCTCAGGAGTATACCAACCTGGACGATCTACATTTACAAACAAGTATTTTTGATGTTTCTCCCTCCAATTTCAGCTATATCTCGAGATAATACAATGCACACTAAACGCGTTTCTTTGATACAACTTTATTAAACAAAAGATTGGCACAAAAGCAATATTCTCGGTAATTTGCAACGTGTGATAAGAGTTACATAAGATCCTCTAATCGAGGAAGATTTTCACTTTCGCCCATAACAACCAAAGAGGGTTTCTTTTGAAAGATTAGCTTGGCTGCCTGTTAAACAAAAAATTTAACGGTCAAACAAGGAAGAGCAGCATAAAAAAACATCAGTTCCTCCGTTGCATTTTAAAGTTCACATGCTGATCACGCGCTGTGAACATGAAAACAAATGTCGAGTTTGCAATATAATCGACATGAAAATTTTGCAATGAGTACTTGAACTTTCAAACGACTTCAAGAAATGTTATGTTAGTGATATATAACCCAAATTCCTCCCTATATGGCCAGGTTCATAACGTTCCCTCATCACTCTTGCAACGTAAAGACGTATAACCAGGACAAGCAGACAATTTCACGTAATACAAAATAAAACAAATTCCGAAGAGGGACATCTCGTTTTCTTGATATTCAAGATAGTACAAGAGTTTGAAACAAAAGATGGTGTAATATTTCGTCTTTATTCCAAAGACATCATCAGACTTATAGTTTACAATGCAAGCTGCGAAACGTTTATATATTTACAAGCGGAAAATATATTTTGTATTACGTAAAGACGTTGTTAAACCAAATTGTTCAGCGGTTAAACTGACCTTTCACTGGGCTTCAGTAATAATTTAAAAAATGACACTTACGCTTACAACATCATCCAAGGATACTTTGTCTATCTGCTGAGCACAGGAATCGGGCGATGTATATTGACCCCTATGCAGTATCTATAATACACATGAACTTGTAAGGATAGTTACCATACTGTGTAACGATAGTTACCACTAACTGTGTCACGACACCATACCCACCTGTGTGCCTATGGTAATTGTACCGACCTGAATACCTATGATAATTGTACCAACCCATGTGCTTATGGTAATTGTACCGACCCGTGTGCTTATGGTAATTGTACCGACCCATGTCCTTATGGTAATTGTACCGACCCGAATGGTAATTGTACCGACCCGTATGATAATTGTACCAACCCTTGTGCTTATGGTAATTGTACCGACCCGAATAGTAATTGTACCGACCCGTATGCTTATGGTAATTGTACCGACCCGTATGGTAATTGTACCGACCCATGTGCTTATGGCAATTGTATGTACCAACCTGTGTGCCTATATCTTCCAGCTTATCGACAGAGCTCTCGCCTGACATGTGAATGCTTGACTTCAGTTGGTTTCTATTATGAATAATTCATTAACACATGAATAAACAGCAATCGAATGCAGTAGAAAACAAGTAGCGATAACATCTGCTTCTGCGGGCTTTCCATAATTTGCAAAAGTAAAGTAAAAATCAAATTAGGAACAAAAGATGTAATAATATTTCCCCCTCTTACTTTGCTCGTTGCACTTCTTCTTTTGTGACATCACCTTTCGAAACTTTGGAGTACTCGTCTACAATTGTACGCGTGACCTGTAGATTTTCAAATTCGGAAAACGCGAACGTCATGACAGAAATTGACTTGAAACAACATCATGGCAGCAATAACGTGACGATAAAACTTCATTAGAAACATTAAAACAACATCAATAAGAAGATGGAAATTGATTGAAACATTAGAATAACATTAATAACAAGATGGAAATTGATTGAAACATTAGAACAACATCAATAAGAAGATGGAAATTGATTGAAACATTAGAACGACATCAACAAGAAGATGGCAATAGATTGAAACATTAGAACATCATCAACAAGAAGATGGCAATAGATTGAAACATTAGAACAACATCAAGAAGATGGCAATAGATTGAAACATTAGAACAACATCAACAAGAAGATGGCAATAGATTGAAACATTAGAACAACATCAACAAGAAGATGGCAATAGATTGAAACATTAGAACAACATCAACAAGAAGATGGCAATAGATTGAAACATTAGAACAACATCAACAAGAAGATGGCAATAGATTGAAACATTAGAACAACATCAACAAGAAGATGGCAATAGATTGAAACATTAGAACAACATCAACAAGAAGATGGCAATAGATTGAAACATTAGAACAACATCAACAAGAAGATGGCAATAAATTGAAACATTAGAACAACATCAACAAGAAGATGGCAATAGATTGAAACATTAGAACAACATCAACAAAAGATGGCAATAGATTGAAACATTAGAACAACATCAACAAGAAGATGGCAATAAATTGAAACATTAGAACAACATCAACAAGAAGATGGCAATAGATTGAAACATTAGAACAACATCAACAAAAAGATGGCAATAGATTGAAACATTAGAACAACATCAACAAGAAGATGGCAATAGATTGAAACATTAGAACGACATCAGCGTTACGACAGGACTTCATTAGAAACATTAGAGCAACATCAACCAGGATATACAACTCAATTTTTGCCAACGCTACGTAAAATTTAGAACCATATAAAAACATTAGAATAACTAACGAGATGTTTATATTAAATATACAACGTTAACACAATGTTGGAACTTCGTTTGAACGATAAAAAGTTAAAAGCGCTATGTATTAAAAACACGTTGGAAATTGATCCAAAATATTTTTTACTTTTTGAAAACATTGAGATATATTATTTCAGCAGGTTTAGCAACTTTACCTTTGCAGCATCTTTAGGACTTGCTGCTGCATGAAAACCAAACAGCCCAGAATCTGTATAGTTGATGTTTAAGGCAGATCCCTTAAATATTAAACCGATTAATAACTTGGCACTGTACTTCAAAACAATAAGAATTATATTTCAAAGGAAAAGTCTGCATCGTTTACCATAAATGGACCATCAGTAACTTTTTGTACGGCCTTGTTTATTCTGCAACGAGACATTTGAAAAGCTCACGAGTCAATTAATGTACTCTCTCGTATGAGATACTCAGGATGTAATGATGGATTACAAGGTATACTGTGGGAAATCTCGTATGAGATACTCAAGATGTAATGATGGATTACAAGGTATACTGAGGGAAATCTCGTATGAGATACTCAGGATGTAATGATGGATTACAAGGTATACTGTGGGAAATCTCGTATGAGATACTCAGTATGTAATGATGGATTACAAGGTATACTGTGGGAAACCTCGTATGAGATACTCAGGATGTAATGATGGATTACAGGGTATACTGAGGGAAAGGGTTTTGAAAGGAAACAGTGGACGTATGTGGGTCCAGTTAAAAAGGGTTCTACTTGGGTTTTTACAATAAGTACAGCTGTCTTTTTGTCATGTGTTTATACCCGCTATAAGTTGCTATCCTCAGCACATCTATATCTATCTTTGATAGTTTACAATACCTGGAAGAGACAGTGTTGCTTCCCCACTTAATGAAGGGAGTAATGCCAAGAACCCGCTAAAACAGATAAAATGTTTTACGTATAGTTGACTATCGTTGTATAAATTACAAACGCTTTCTCTAAGACCTACGATATTTTGAAATACATCAAGATATTATGCACATACATATCTTTATAATACTTACTTGTAAAACGCCAAATGAAAGATATTTTTTGTCAACAAAACTAGACAAATGATGTTGAAGTGTTAAGCAAAGCGCGTCGTATCTTTACTCTTCAATATGAATGAGCAAAGAAGATTGAAATCTCAAAATAAACACACTTCAACACTAACTACCTGCTTCCTTCAGACGCTAAAGCAACATAAATCAGGCCTTTTGGTTCTTCACTGATTAACTCGCCTAAAATGGATTATTGGCATAAAAACAAGGTCATTCGCAAGAGAAATGGACAGTCGATTTTTAAAATAGAAAAAATACGACATTGGACGTGAACGCTGTAATTATAACACCTTAAATGCGACATTGGACGTGAACGCTGTAATTATAACACCTTACCTCCACAGTACAACGCTTTCTGCGGAGGAGCATCGCTTCCAGCCGGTATGAGAGAGAAATATGTCTCACATAGATCAACTAAACTTTTATGTGGTACGCCTGATCGTAAGAAAAACACATAAAGAAGAAATAAAGTCAATTGTCAGGTATAAACACTCGTTTTTTAACATCTTCTCCTACCTACTCCAACTAAAGCCATTTTCTTGCCCACAAACATTTCTTTGACAAAATTCAAAAGCTGAAAAAACAAATTTTCAGTGTTTTACCTACTTGTAAACTTGTAAACACACTTATATAAAAATCTACGAACCATATCCGTGCGGAACGAATGTATCTTATGTGGCTTGCAATATATGGAATTCCTCAGACCATTTCTAAGTGAGAAATACGATTCACATCAATAAAAATATTTTCATTAAAGTGACCGCAGGATAAAGATACGGTCCTACTTACTTATACGCAATTCTGTGGAGTTCTTCAATCAAACCTGTCATTGCAAAATATTTACACAATATTTTAGAAACAACTAAACATGGTAAAAAGGATTATCAACTTTATCTTCCTAACCAATTTGTGGGTTTGTTTCGGCGATTGCAAGGTCCAAAGCAACATTCTCGGCAATGTCATCTAACTAAAATGAGAAAATAACACTTTTTGATCGATGAAGAGAACAAAAAACATCAATTGAACGTACAATGAAAGCAACACACAAATTCTGTTGAACGAGCTAGAGTTACCACAATAAAAAAATGTACAGGTTAAATATCTATGTTCATTCTTACCTCCCACTGTCTGAATTCTGGAACTCTGGCAACATTAGCTAGGTACGGTATGAGTAGATTCCTATTTTATGAGAAAATTGAAGAAATAATAACAAAAGTTTGATTAATTCCAGTCCATGAAACACAAACGATAAACCATTTAAGGAGGTTGCATTCAATTACATAAACATGAATTAAATATGACTTGGTTTTAAATAAAACAATGTCAGCAAGGGAAGAATTAAATATGACTTGGTTTTAAATAAAACAATGTCAGCAAGGGAAGAAATAAATATGACTTGGTTTTAAATAAAACAATGTCAGCAAGGGAAGAAATAAATATGACTCGGTTTTAAATAAAACAATGTCAGCAAGGGAAGAATTAAATATGACTTGGTTTTAAATAAAACAATGTCAGCAAGGGAAGAATTAAATATGACTTGGTTTTAAATAAAACAATGTCAGCAAGGAAGAAATAAATTAAACTAGAAAAACTAGTAACTAGCAAAAATGAAAAAGCATAAAGAGTGGGATTTTATTTTATGCATTCTTAACTTACACATTGTCTTTCAAACATTGACCAGAATAAACAACATTCTCTCGTGATGATGAAGCCCTAAAGAATTATCAATTAATAGTAAGGCAGAAATAACACATTTTGGGTCAATAGCACATTTTGGGTAGAAAACAACATAATGTTAGGGTAGAAAATAACACATGCAATGTAAAAACAGCACAGGTGGTAAAAAGAGCAAAATATATATGGTAGAAAACTACACATGTTGGGTAGAAAACTACACATGTTGGGTAGAAAACTACACATGTTGGGAAGAAAACTACACATGTTGGGTAGAAAACTACACGTTGGGAAGAAAACTACACATGTAGGGTAGAAAACTACACATGTTGGGTACAAAACAACACATGTTGGGTAGAAAACTACATGCAGGGTGAAAACTACACATGTTGGGTAGAAAACTACACATGTAGGGTGAAAACTACATGTAGGGTAGAAACTACACATGTTGGGTGAAAACTACACATGTTGGGTAGAAAACTACACATGTTGGGTGAAAACTACACATGTTGGGTAGAAAACACACATGTTGGGTAGAAAACTACATGTTGGGAAGAAAACTACACATGTTGGGTAGAAAACTACACATGTAGGGTGAAAACTACACATGTTGGGTAGAAAACTACACATGTTGGGTAGAAAACTACACATGTTGGGTGAAAACTACACATGTTGGGTACAAAACAACACATGTTGGGTAGAAAACTACACATGTTGGGTACAAAACTACACATATTGGGTGAAAACTACACATGTTGATTTACAAAACAACACATGTTGGGTGAAAACTACACATGTTGGGTACAAAACAACACATGTTGGGTACAAAACAACACATGTTGGGTACAAAACAACACATGTTGGGTAGAAAACTACACATGTTGGGTAGAAAACTACACATGTTGGGTGAAACTACACATGTTGGGTGAAAACTACACATGTTGGGTACAAAACAACACATGTTGGGTGAAAACTACACATGTTGGGTAGAAAACTACACATGTTGGGTGAAAACTACACATGTTGGGTAGAAAACTACACATGTTGGGTAGAAACTATACATGTTGGGTGAAAACTACACATGTTGGGTAGAAAACTACACATGTTGGGAAGAAATCTACACATGTTGGGTAGAAAACTACACATGTTGGGTAGAAAACTACACATGTTGGGTAGAAAACTACACATGTTGGGTACAAAACAACACATGTTGGGTAGAAAACTACACATGTTGGGTAGAAAACTACACATGTGTGTATCACCTTGTTATATTTCTTTATCTCAAAACTTATAGATCATTTGAGAAATAAAAGATGTTTACTGTGTTTGCACAGCCTTATGCAAACTGAGGGAACCTTTGGGAGAACTCGAGAGCAGATCAATGCAAGCCCGAGACCGAAGGTCGAGAGTTGCACATGCTCGAGAGTTCTCACAAACGTCTCTGAGGTTTGCATAAGCCAGTGCAAACATGAAAAACACATTTTATTTCTTTTATATAATAAAAATCATGCCAAACAAATAAAACGTTTTAATATTTTTCTAATGCATATTCATGATTGATTTGCAAATTCTCTTTGATTCATTGAATTATTTGGTTGGTTTTGTTGAGAGTGTTTTGCACAGGCTAATGCAAACACAGCTCTAGAACAATCAGCACACGCCTTTCATCGCGTTTATTTTATAGAACTTACTCCAGACTTATTCCATTTTCCTCCATGGTTCGAGAAATATGAAAACCAGTGTGATCAGACGTGGTCTGTAAAGTAAATCAATAGAAAGAATGATAGGATCAAGTTAAAATGAGATAAAGGATAAAGAATTTGGATTCAAGAATTAAAACGATAATTAGTCAAGGTGGTGAACCATGGATTAAGAAGGCATGGAAAATGGTGAAGGATTATCAAGGAAGGGAGATTACATGTTTGTAAATGTAGATCATCCAGGTTGGTATAGTCTTAAGGACTGTTTTTGTTGTTGTTGACTGATGTTTCAACAACCTTAGCGGTAGTCATCTTCAGAGTCAAATGAGGAGTAAACGTCAGGTTAACAGTCCTCCTCAGGACTCAAACAACCTGGACGATCTACATTTACAAACATGTAACGATACTCCCAGGTTCAAACCATTTACTTTGAAGAGAGATGAAGTAATTTGTTACGGAAGGTAAGATCTCCTGTGAAACATGAATACCACGTACTAAGAAAGCTCCAACTCTGAGAATATGGGATATACCAATGTTCAACAATGTCTCATAGCGACTTCCAGTTTTGAAAAACATCCCAACTCTTGCATTAGGATTAGAAGAATCGACTGATGCCACCTTCATACCATTGCTTAGTGTTGTCACCTGCATGTATTTGAAATAGTTATGCAAACAAAATCATTAAAAATGTGGACGAACAAATACAAGACATCCTTTTGTACCTGTACTTCACTGGAATGAGAAGCAGACTTTGATTCATCAAATTCAACATCTTCCAAAGGTTCGCTTAACGGTGTCACACATACTGGCAGATTTCGTGACTGTAAAAAAAAAATGATTACACTTTAGTGGGATTGTGGGTGGTATGCCAATTTATGTGTTTCAGGGGGGGGGGAAGATACGTGATCCAGACTTAGTGTTTATGGATGTTTACTTTGGGCTAACGCAGAGATATTCTAGTTTAAGAAAACCTTCAACTTGACCTGGCACAAAGATGTTTGATCAAAAATAGAGCTTAATATAATTCTGATTTCAGAAGCAAAATAAAAAATTAAGAAAAACCTTTCGCCGGTATTAACTTTTTCTTTTCTAACCTGAATTCTTGATAATTCAAAATGTGGATTCCTCAAAACGGGCTTAAGAGCCCTTGAAAACTTGTGCATCTTGAATAAAATTCACTGTGAGTCGTAAAACATTCAAAATCAATTCAAAACATTGATCAATTTGTTATCAGTTCACAGTTGTTTCAGAAGTGACAAAAAGGCGAAGTATTTGACGTTGTTGGCGAATACAATACGTATAAAAAGTCGACATCTGATCGTATTTGGTTTAGACTCTCTGGAGTGCGCTAGTGAGCGCAATTTGCATAAATTGCTGGTAGCTAGACAGTGTGGTGGGTCAACGGGTAACTTGTCCCGACAGCGCCAGCGTGCCAGCGCAAGCTGCGAATTGCAAACTTATTTCAGCATTTTCTCTCATTTTTTTTAAAATATTTTCGCATTTAGTGAGCTTGTCGAATTACTTTCATGTCATTTTCGAAAAGCTCTCTAATCTGACCTTATCGAATTACTCAATGTCAACGTTGATGATGAAATACACCCTATAAACTTTACTGTTTGTATTTTACCCTCAGTTTATGGTACTTAGATATGTCTTGGAATTACATAGTCTTACTGAATGATGAACGTTAGTTAATACCATTCTATTTATCATGAACTTCTGAACTTCACCGCATGCCAGTACATAGTACTACAAGCCAGTACATGTCAATAAATTCCAGAATGTTTCTAGAACTTACACCAAACCGATGTTACGGAAGGTGCTAAGTTGTTAAAATTATGTCGTAATATTTTTCATGCTCTCATCTGAACTCTATGCTTATCTATCCCCATGTCAAAAATGATAATCGATAATCTGAACAGTTTATAAACAATTTGGTAGAGAACGGGATTAGTTCAAACAAAAATGACAATACTGACCTCGAGCCTGATACAATATCAAGGTCATGAAAGGTCAAAGTCCTGTTTGTGACGTCATGTTCAGGAAAAACAAGAAATGAGTGTAATTCACTCTTTTACTAGTAAACGAGCTTCAACGACACGTTGGCCTGTTGTGTAGCTTCTTTTAACTGCCTTTCCCTGTAAAACATGTCCTCAGAAGAAGCTCACGTTGAAGGCAGTGGCGGTGAAGAAGATGAAGGGGAAATTATCGATTGGCAATTGCCATTATGCTTCACGAAGAAGCGTCATCGTGAGCGCATCGAGAAATCGCAACATTACCCACAAACATGGCGAATGAAAGAGAGAGTAAGATTATAGTGTTCATACATGCGGAAAGGCTGCCTTTCGTTTTTGTTTTTATGTGTTCGATGTGAAAAATTGCTACGCTTGGCTTTGACTAGGCTGTAAGAAAGAAATGCAATCCTTTTGATACTATTCCATGACGGAATACGTTTTACTTTGTTTATTTATGTACCTTTATTGAAAGCACATGTCAATTCATAATTATCTCTTACTCAGTCACGCTTCTTTTTGCCCGGTCGGCCTTATTTACTGTCGTTATCTTTTGAATGGACTCAATAAAATTGCTTGGTCTGGGTGTGTCCAAAACTGTCAATTTCTGGCGCTGCTTGCCCCATAATTTCATAGGAAATAAAAAATAAATGTCTTTTGAATGATAATTTTACATAATGAAATAATGATTTAAATATTCTACCTGCTCATGCTTGCTTTGAAGTTTGTAATATAATTTTTGTACATTTTAGTTTTTTATCTTTTCGCAATCTCAAGCAGAGATGAAAAAAAGTCTTAACTCTGGCTCTCAGACATAAATTTATTTCCAACGAGTTGTATTATAATCAGGAATGCTAACCTCACTGCAATCTTTGGTTTTCTGATGTTTAAACAGTTGCACAACATTATTTTAGAAAATCAGCAATGATATATATAAAATACAGTAGAGAAAATTGCCATGAAACGTTTTACCACACAAGCTTTGGTAATTGACAGGAAAACTCAAATATAAGAAAACATTAAAAAGTACCAAAAAATTCAGATATATACTTAGCAGGCTACAAAGTTCAAAATGGCTGATACTGTAGCACAACTATTGGACAATGTTGCCTATTGCAATTTTGTAAAATCCCACGTAAGCTCCCAAAATATCCTGAGATTCCTTGAAAAATACTGATTTCCCCCCACTTTTGTTCTCAGACTCCCTAAGAAAGAGACGAGTCACTGCCCTCTTTACATCAAAATTTTGGTCATATCAATCAATTTTCACATAAGCTGTACATCAATTCGTAATTTAGCAACTCAAGAACCCAAAAAATGCCAGCAATTACTTAAGGTCAAAGTCCCATAAGAATCCCAACTGCTTCATGGATCCTGAAATCACACAATAAAATCCTGAAGTTTGCAACACTAATATTGGGAATTAACATTCCAGTTTGTACAACAGTTCACAGGTTTACTGTATCGTTTTGTTTTTAGATGAAAACAGTGAGTGTTGCCTTGGCATTGTGTTTGAACATTGTCGACCCTGGCGTTGTAGAAACCTCACTGCCGTGCTTTCATGGAGTGTTGGATGGGTATGAAGAAATAAGCTTATGTAAATGTTTGTTTTTTCATTTTAGAACTTAATTATCCCGTCAATGTTTTTAAAACCACTAGATCCAACAGATAT